TACCACTTAAACCACTCGGCATTCCGGCCGTTCGCAAACATTCTTAGAATAATTTAATTTATTCGGCGACTAGCAATTTTATATATTTCAGTCACGACGGAGGCTATTGAATTTTTATAAGCACTAGTCGTATTTTTTTTCTTTTTCTGACGAATCCAGCTCGACTTATTGATGATTATTCTCCGTGGCGCCAATAAAATCGATTATTAATCGATCATTAATGAGTTTGTCGAAAATTTCGATCTAACTTTTGGCAATTGGAAGGCGTTACAAATACAATATTTATTGTAAGCTTGGGAATAAATAATATTTATTTTTTAAAATGCTAAATTTAGAAAAAAAAAATGTTAAGTTTCATTAGCTTTTGCAATCAATATATTTCAAACATCAAAATTTACAATGGCGTATTTACAGATCCGACAGAATCGTAAATGGCATTTAAGGTTACTTGTATGTCATTATAACAACTTTTACAGTTATGAAAATATTCTTACACGACATTACTATATAAAATATAGAAAATCAAATAATTAATATATATTACTTTATTTATTGTTTACTATGTATAACAATTTGTTAATGATTACAAAGATTTGAGAAACAAATTGTTATACATTTACAGAACAATTTAAAAGGAGAATAGTCACGGCCCCTACACGACCTCTTATTACCTTATTCACAAGATCCAAGAGTTTGATAATTTTTCTAACTTTTTCACTCTACTTTTAGCAGTGGCGTAGCGTGGATGTCAGCCGCAGGGGGCGGAGGAAAATTTCGCCCCCCTTTATTTAGGTATCTCAATTTAAAAAACAAATTCAGTTTCATCACAGAATAAGTAATGAAAAATTCCGTGCTAGTGTTGCCACCTTATTAAAATCGCTGACCCGGGCGGCAGGTGAGGTTTGTTCGAATAGAAGTTCCTGACGCATGCGTATGTCATTTTGCAATGCGAAGAATAATGTGCAGTGCATGCTGGTTGTAAATCAGTTACAGCTAGCGACTAGGGAGACTTGGATAGGAGTAACGCAAGTGACCTAGCTGTATTGGATATTGCAGGTGTATATATATACGAATAATTCGTACAAGAAAAAAAAAAATAAATAAATAAATAAAAGGTCAACAGGTTGCGCACGATATCCGGCGAGTCGATTCCAGGACTATCCGGATGGATGGTAACACTATTCCGTGCTCATTTCAATCGGTCCGAGTCGTAGGTGGACGAAAATATGAAATAAAATGGTTCAAATTCTTACAAAATATTATTATTATTTATTGTGAAATTTTGCCGCCCCCTAAAAAGTGCCGGCCGGGCGGGCCGCCCCCACTACGCTACGCTACTGACTTTTAGTACGTGATCGCTTATTGGGTAACTCCTAGCTCTAACTCTCGACTATTAGTTGTAAGTACGGCTTTAGTGTACTTCTAGATAAGTCGGTTTCTGGATATTTATCACGAAAATTATCAGGTAACAATCAAGAACACAAGTGTTTTAATTTCGAATTTATTGCGCTAGCAATTGCTTAAAAATCTGAACTTTTTGTCTAATGTTTTTTCACTAGATTTATCTAAGTTAATAGAATTTTAAATAGGCTATTGTCCTTAATTACAATATATCTTATTCTGATTTTCTGTTACAATATTTAATACGTAAGATTTTTTTTTTTTGAATAAAATGCAAAAATAATTAAGAAATTTTTATATTATCTCTAAATTTACTCATTTCGAATATTTAAATTTTGTTATATGGCCGTATTCAGAAACAAAGATCAAGATTTGAAGTTAACCAATTACAATTCACTTTACTTTTGATACGTGAACGCTTATTGGCTAACTTCTAGCTCTCGATACTTGGATGTAAGTACAGTATGTTCATTAGTAATAAAATGTCATCTTTTCACAATTAAAACCAAGAATTTTTTTCGTACCAAAATTTCTTTTCATCGAAAATATCAAGAAACTTTATTAAAATAATAATAAAAAAGATTATAATGTTAAATTATATGAGATCTTAATTAAATATGAATATAGAAAATTAGGTTTGTAGAAAACAATGTAACCATCGATAATGAAGATCAATCATATTTGATGGAATGATAATGTTGTAAGAATGTCACTCAGGAGGATGATTCTATGAATAAAAATGTATAATGACTAAATAGTTATAAAATTGCGATTTCAGTATTTATTGAGAAATTTATTAGAAAATTAAACTAATAATGTTAAATGAAATTTCTGCTTAGAATTTAGAAAGTTCACGGTGACTTAGCTCATTTTTCTTGTTGCTAAATGAAATGCCACGTGAATGATGCAATGCAACAAGGAAACAATTTCTGAAAGATGAATTTTGAGTGAATTATCCAATTGATATTTGATTATTAGAGCATCCATACAAATTTTCCTCAGTTAAAGCCTAAGTACATACGATTAGACCACGGAATGAGTAAGCTCGTATAAAATGTAAAAAAAAAAAAAAAAGAAGAAGAAAGAAAGAGGATGGCTATTGTTATTTTCTAAAAGACGATGGAATTATATTCTCCGAAAGTGCAAACTAGTTTTTAGTTCTTTACAAAGTCTATTAAATTATTTTGATATACAATTCCACGTTTACGTAATTGATAATTATGGGTTGCGTGTAAATGTGAATAAATCAAAGTCGATTTTATCATATATGAACAGAAGAACGGAGGATAGTTTGTGTGATGTAATGTTACTAGGATATTTGAATAGAACTGAAATAGCTCCAAGGTAATTGATTGATGAATCCTAAACAATAAATTAAAGTTAGGAAGAATTATTTTTACAGACTTTCCTAACAAACGTGTGATAATTCCTACAGTATACTGGAATGTATCTCATTTTCTTACATTAAAATCAACTATCAGAATAATTAAATTTTTTAATAATAGTTTACAATAATTAACTGCAAAAAAAATCAGCTAAATTTGTATACATTTTATTTAAAATATAAGGTAAAAAACGTGAACATCTTTAGTAATTTTGTCTTGTATTTTAGAAGTAAAAGCAAGGAGGGCGAGAAAACTGTNATCGTTTTATGACGAGTAAAATTTTTTCGTCGCGTTCGCAGGTTTTAAGTAATGCATAAACCTTCGAGGCGCGAGGCATAGGCGGTGGCCCACGTCGTCCATGCCTTACGCCGCCCTTGGTCATAGAAATGATGTAATTTCAATATAAATTATTTATAAATACTGTACGTATGTCAAGTTATATTTTTATTACTACGTAAAATATATTTAAGAGTTTACGACCACTGTGCTGGGTGAGACGTTGTTAAAACAAAAAAAGTTATGCATTCCATCACGTACATAAACAGTGTCGTAATTCGCCAAGTGCAAATCAGCAAATTCGTAAAATTTTTGTTTATTTTGAACAGTCCGGATAATCGAAAATCCGGATAATGGAGGTCCGGATAATGGAGGTTTTACTGTAAATAAGATTTTTGCGGGAAAAAAATACCTAAGAATATTACAGGTGACGAAAAAATATTACTTAGATCAAGTAGGAGTGTATTACCGGAAAACAATAGAAAATGAACAGAGAAAAAATGAATTGAAATGAAAATATTTTTGGATGGATGCCAGTCTATAAGGGAAATGTCGTTAAGACATGGTTGAATGGATTACTTTAGTAACTATTTTCCTTTATTACGTTCGACTCGTTTAATCAGTTTTTATTACAACTTAAAAACGTCACAAAAGTATTTAACGAATAATAGAAAAATCAGCATCTTTAAGGAAAAAAAAAATTAAGTATTTCATCAACGGTTATTAACTAAAGTACAAGTATAGACAACCCACACATCATCATTATCAATTCTCAATAAATTTCAGTTCTCACGCTACAGTATTACCTACATAAAACTTAGACTATTCTCCTGTTATTCGAATTATATGATAATTTGAAGGACTGATATAGCGTAATCTTTATAAGTTATTGAGTGACTAATTCTTGACCTTGTGTAGTTTACATTCTAAGATGGCAAAATGATTCATAAACTCGAACTGACCATTTGAAATGATAGAAAATGTAGAAATTCTCTTTAATATTTTTGCCAATATTTTACCTTTTGCCAGCTTTTTAAAATGATGATAAAATAGCGTGTTATTTAAAATTATAAAGTTATAATTTTGCTATTAAATCGATTTTTATAACTAAATAGAAGTGTGGTTTTAAAATTAACGATAAAATAAATGCTGCCCGATCAATGATATCTTATCACCCATTGATAATATTCAAGGTGTGTGATATAAACATATTATTTACGCTACGGTTATTTGATTGAAACTAGCTTTCGAGTGAATTACTTTAAATATTTTTCAGGAAGTTTCGTATACACTTCACACTTCCGATCTATTAGTCACTTTATTGAAGATTTCGGGATCAATATTGACTCGGTAATTAAAAGTTTGTTGTATTTTTACTCTTCGCTTCTTTAAATAAACTCGAAATTTATTTAAATTTAATTTAAAATATTGATTTTATAGGTATGTTATTTAGTTGTAGTTTTCTATTACGGTTTTTTTATTTCGGATAAAATAAATTCTGTTGCTACGATAAAGCAAAATAGTTTAGTAGAAGTGCGGGGATTTGTAAAGACCATTGTTCGTTGATCTAGAAGTATGTAAAAGCTGATAAATCAAAAATAACATCCCATTGATAGCATATTACGAAACCAAAAGATTACCAACGTTCTAAAATATAGTACTTGAACCAATTCACGAATATTGCCAAGGACATAGGAACTGGAAACGATGACGAAAGCACGGATTACATAATTCAGAATTATTATTAAAATTTCGTTACTACAAAATTTAAACAATTAAATTTCTATTAAGAAACTTTTCGCGTTTATTTAATTTTTCTCTCCTAAAATAAAAAATAAAAATAAAAAAAAAATTTTCCGGGATTGAAATAGTAGATAGGTGACGTCACCGTCAATTCCTATGACGTCACGTCCGGTTATGTCTCGCGCCGTTTCCCGGCATTCGCGGACGGCATTCGCACGTTGGTTAGATATGGCTTCGGTTGTCACAAATGGCAACAAAACACACGTCCGAATTAATAACGAGAAAGTCAGCTGTTAAGTGATCGAAAAAAGAACGATCTATAATTGTTACATTAATAGATTAATATAATAATTAAATTTTTGTTTGAGAATTTACGATAATTGTCACGATGGAACCGATTCGACGTATTGGTTATTGGTGGAACGAAAAGAAGAGTAGAAAGTTTAACATGCCCGAATTTACTAGGATATTAAGGTGAGATTCTTAATTCGTTTCTTTTAAAATGTTTTATTTAAAAAAATTTTTTGTTACCTTCGGTAAAAGAAATTTGCGAATTTGACTTGACTAAACGATAAAGTTGTGTATTTGTATTCGCTTTATGTTGTCGAGTGGAATGACCCGAAACCGTTGTTTTTTCTCTTAACAAATTAAACTGTACGGTTTGAAAATTTATTTAGACGTGTAGCCGCATTGTCTGAAAGTAAAATAACAACTCCATGGGTTCATATTGTAAGACGAGACTCGCCCTGTTCCGTTTTGGGTCAAACATTATGTTGAAATGGTCAACCACGCCTTCGTTCTTTGGAATTTTTGCTTCATTTCTTTCGTTTTTCTCATTTTTCTATTTAAATTTTTACTTATAATCAACGATAATATCGCGTATTCGCACCATCTGTTAAGAATTTTCTCTTATATTTCTAAAAATTCTTATTGGTGTAGTTAAAAAATGATAACGTTTTAAAAACAAGAAAAATGATACGTACGGCCATAATTTAAATATGGAAATTAATCCGAGCATCTAATTAACGTAATCATGTTTTGAAATATTCCCCCTTTTTTTAAATTATTATAATCCAATTAAAATAGCAACAAATATTACAGTTTGAGTTTTTCAATACATTAGACTAAACGAGGAATATATTTTAAACTCAATGTGCAATTTATAATATAGGCTAGGCTGGTTTTTCATTCTGTAGACCTTGGATAATTTATTGGCCTACTTCTTATATATTCTGCAGTCTTATTACTTGTGACATCAATGTAAATTTATATTGTCTTTCTACATTTTTAAAACTAGCTGGCATCTGCTCTAAATGTATAAATGGTTTTCTCCAGATTTAGCTTAAAATATTAAGCAATACATAAATATTTTATTTGGCCAATATGAGCTCGATAGAATATAATTAATGTAAGCGTTCTTATGAAAATGAATGATACCTAATAATTTTCTATCTTGTCTAATAAAAATTAGTATTGAATTAATTGATACTGTATACAATTTTTATATATTTAATTCACTTATTAGTGATACAACAGATAAACTTCATCTTTTCTAAATGTATTAATTATTCTTAAGAAAATGCACGTGAAAAGTTTTAAATTTAAAACTTTTTTCCGAAAGTTCTGTTTGTATTTCTAAGTATTGGGATTAAATTAAGTTGTTCGTTTATAATGAATAATGACGTAGACATTTTAATTAGTTAATACTTTTGAAACAAAATATTTTGTCCTCATATAAACAAAAAAAATAATAATAAATTTCTACAAAATTTATATTGAAATGTGTCTACTCTATAATAATTTATATCTTGAAAACACAAATAATTTACAAAGAAGGAATCAATGTATCTCCACTTTTTTCCTATAGAATAAAATTTTAACAATAAGCTTCCTTTGTTCATATGTAGTACTGTCAAAACAAAAAAAAACTGTTGTTAATAATAAACTAGGTTGTAAATTATAAAATTTGATTAATAAATGGAATGATTTCTTTTTTAATAAATAGTTAGGTCAGACTATTTTAAATTAGTTATCTCATGTCTAAAGTTTATTTCAATTAAAAATCTCATTAAATTTTTTTCAAGTGAATTTTTAAAATATGTGCACTGTAACATGAGCAATAGAAATTTTATGAAAATTAATAAATAGGAATGTTAAGATGATTAAGCAATGTTTACAGGAAATAAAACTATTCCTGTGATACCTTTTTATCTTCCAGGAAAAATNGCAATTTAAAAAATTCTCACGTGTTTTTGTAATTATTAACTCAAAAAAATTATAAAAATTTGAATTTTTATTTAATTTTCAATTCAAAATTCAATTGCCGTACGGCATAACTATATATTTGTTTAGAAGTGAGCTTATTATTAATTGTTTATTCGTATTTTTATCATAAAATAAAGTCAAATTTCTTGTTTTATACAAGTTAAATAATAGTTTATTCTTACTTTTTATTTCATATTTTAATTACGAATAGTTTAAACTAGAGATTTGACGTCCAAAATATCTGTTGTTTACGTATTGTGGCGACTCACTGTTTACACAATTCTAAAGAAAAAATAAAATAAAATAAAAGATAATTATTAATATTGTTGAAAGATAAATCAGATTAGACCTTTACACATGAACCGTAAGTTATCTATTGCTTCTAAATTTAAAATATCGATAAAATATATCTACTGAGCGATACTCATTGTCTTGCAAGTTGTTTTGATTTAGCGATGTCTTTTGTTATTTTAATAACATAATGTATGAATTCTTGACAAATTCGTTTTGAAAATAAGACAACGCCATTATTGTGCCAGTGCTTTCAATTTTCGTCTTTCTGATAATTGATATTTCATTCAACCTATTGCATTTTCTCTAGAAATCTATCAGCTAGTATCGATAAATTAATTTAAAAATAAATCTGATCCTTATCTCTTTCCTCGTAAATGAATATCAAAGGTTCTAATTAGCAAAGATATATTTTTTTTTAAAGATTTTTTCTTGCTCTTTGGGTTTAAGAGGGACTTTCAGCAAACCCATTATGGGTTCAGTCAGGCTTACAATGGGACAACCGGATGGTGAGAGACGAGGCCAAGCATATTAAAACGGATCACCCCACCGAAAAATTCATGGGGTTTTTGGCCCATCCGAACAATAGGCTACCACTTAAACCACTCGGCATTCCGGCCGTTCGCAAACATTCTTAGAATAATTTAATTTATTCGGCGACTAGCAATTTTATATATTTCAGTCACGACGGAGGCTATTGAATTTTTATAAGCACTAGTCGTATTTTTTTTCTTTTTCTGACGAATCCAGCTCGACTTATTGATGATTATTCTCCGTGGCGCCAATAAAATCGATTATTAATCGATCATTAATGAGTTTGTCGAAAATTTCGATCTAACTTTTGGCAATTGGAAGGCGTTACAAATACAATATTTATTGTAAGCTTGGGAATAAATAATATTTATTTTTTAAAATGCTAAATTTAGAAAAAAAATTTTGTAATTATGATATTACATACTTTTTATTGTTATTAAAACTTCAACTGCTTTATAAAACTTGAAATTATTGATATTTACAGATGTAAAAATGTATATGGTAAAAACCTGAAAAATATACACTGTGTTTTAGCTAAAATGTGTGTTTTAAATGGATAAAAACAAGTACAGGTGTGCTTTACATTTAATAAAATCATTGCAGTTTTATTTCTGAAAATTTATTAAGGTGTGGAATATTCTAGGAAAAACAGGATGTTTTGAATTAGCATCTAATGCTAAAGCAAAAATAGTTACATAATTGTCACACAAAAATATATTGCTGTTCTAAATCATCATCTCTCGATAATGCTTTTAATTCCGGATAATAATTCCCTACAAAATGTAGAATTGTTAATAATTTTTTTATATAAACTAGTTTTATTATTAATCAGCAAATAATTTAGGAACTAATATTTTGTATGTAAACAATGATCTGATGTATGTTGTAGTAGTTATTTAAGAGAAACAGCCATACTTGGTTGAGTCACCCTGAATAAAAGTTAGTAACAGATCCCAAACAATTCATTATTACTATTATTATTATTCTCTCTTCAGGCATATCCTATGTTGTTTGACAAAAACTGCAGATACGTTGAAATAATTACAAAATTGTTTTCATTGTTTTTAATTTTTATTTAAATAAAAATCAACTTTCTCTCATGTTTGAGATATTCCTAGATAAATATTTGAATCTAAAAAATTATTTGTAAATTGAAGTTATTTAATATTTTATCAGTTTAACTAAATTAATAATAATATGACATTTTTTTAATTGTATAACTTTCATAATCAAAAAAAGTAATACAAATAAACCATATTCTGTGCATCATGAATATGTAGTAGCCTAGCAATAAACAATTATGCTGAATAATTAAAATTCATCTTGCAGAGTCAAAGAAAAGGGAACAAACGTAGCAAATTTTACATGATTATAATAGATAAATGTAATGGTTGTGTTATTTTATTTAAATAAAACATGTAAAATTGAAGATGATTAAGTTATTTAATGAAATTGAGAAACTTGTTACTGTGTATTTAAATTACTATAACTTAACCTAAACTATAAAAGTTTAAAATTATTTATTAATTAGAAATATTTTGAGGATTCTTTTTCCATTTTCCTTAGATTCTCATACATTTGTTCATTAACAAGTACAGAGAGTGCATTTATCAATTATAAAGATATTAATTTCAATTTTTTGGTATTATTTCGGTATATATTTAATATTTTTAAAGAAGCAAATATTACTAAAATAATAATTTATTTACTTTTTTGATATTAACATATTTTTAAAATGAAAATAACCCAAAATAACTAAGATACTTATATCTTACATCACTTACAAGAACATATTTTGCAGTGGATGAAAGGTGATCCACAAATGAATCAATAAAAAGAAGTAGCTGTTTACAATCAAGTTTACAAATGAGGTTGTTTATAATTCAGAAACTAACAGGTCAATATAAAATTCTAAGTACTGGATGATCTGTTTTGCAATATTGATACTTCTGTATCAGTAATTACTTTTAATACTAATTTACTATTAATTACTGTCATTTTTTGGAAATATGTATCATAGTTTTATATGATTTTATGTATTTAACCAACACACAAATTTTAAAGATTATTAAAGAAATATTTTGTTTCTGCTTTAACAATGTTGTTAGATTTTTATAAAAAAAAAAAGAATGAGATCACTGATATAATATTTTCATGTCGTCTTAAATGCAGTTTACTTTTCTTTCTGGATGCAAATAAGAAATTGGAGTTTAGGTTATAGAAATTAGTTTATTGGAACAAATATAGTTAAGTGTCATATTTACAATAACAACATTAAACAGGCTTACCCTATTTTTGGTTATTAAAATTGTTAGTAACACACTTTTTTTAAATTAGCTTTAAATATATCTTTATTTAAACACTGATTGATATGAGGAGGGACTTAATAATTGAATTTTACTGATATTTAATTTTATACTAATTTTTTTTTTATTAAGAACAATGAATTAATAAAGTTTAGCAATTTCTCAAAAAAATTAAATATAAAAGAAATTGAGCATTGTTTTTTGTAAAAGATGATTAATTTAGTTATGTATTTTCAATGAAAATCACATGCATAAGAGAATTAAAAATATGATGACAAAGTTATTTTATTACTGGATTGGTTATGCAATATGATACTGTTACATTAAAATAAGTATTACTGTATAAATAAGCATTTAACATCTACCTGCTTACTGTTTTCATTTCCTTCTTCATTGACAGTTCTGTTTTAAACTCTTATAAAATTCCTATTTATGCATTATTCACTTGAAATAATATTTGAGACTTGAATTGATAATTTCTTGCCAACCTTGGAAATTTTTCACTGGTGTGAATCGTTTCAAACAGAAATGTTTTTCTAATTACTTTTTTTACTTCACTTCCTGTCCTGTTACTATTTTTAATACATGTATTTCATATGTATTAATTGAAATCTTATTGTAAATGCTATTGAAAATAAGTTTTCATTTTCATTGATATAAATTAAGCTAGGGAAATTATTTAATCTTAATTTAATATTGCCAAATATCAAATTATTTTACTGTTATTTTTCAAATTGTAATAGTCAAAATAGTTTTCTAAATATTTAGACAAACATTTTTTTTTTAATTAGTCATTATTGTATTTACAATTATTCAAATTATGGAATTTTGTTATTAATGTATAAATTTTTTCTATAAATATTTTAATTTCTTTAAAATTCTATAAAATTACAATTAACGTTTTATGTTCATGTAATAAAAAAATTTTCCTGAAACTTTATTTGAATGTATAGAATATAATCATCTAATATTATTAGATTTATCTTCTATTTTTCTGTATTATGATAACAAGAATGTCTGTCTTATCTGCAAAGTATCATTTCAGTGCAGGATCAACTACATTATATTGTTAAAAATTTCATTCTTCCAAGAATATATTAAACTTATTTATGTAAAATATTTTTTTGATTGGTTTAATATTACATTCATTGTTAGTAAATTTAAATTTGAGATTTGCCATATTAAAAATTTTATAGTAATTTATTTATTATGTTTAAATTTTAGATTATAATTCTGTTATTACTCAGATGTGAAAAAATTCTTTAAAAGTGTGTATGTAGTTGTTGGTATGTAATTGTATCATGTTGGTGGATTATGTTCTATTTACTTGATATTGCTGCCTAATACTAAGCAGAAGTAAGGGCAAATGATTGCTATGGTTACACTCTGCTCGTGTATATCTAGAGTATTTAAAAATTTCCTATGTAGTAGTAGTGGTAAGAGATTGTTTACCTATGAGTAAAAAGCTTTCATTATAAAATCTAAAATATTTAAACAAAATATAAAACCAAATCTATATGCTGATCATTATGTTAATATTTTGTGTCATAATGCTAGTCTTTGCATTTGTACTCTATTTGTACCAATTTATAGCAAACTCATTGTCCTATTTTGAACTATCAAGTGATTGTAACTAAAGTATCCCTATTCAACACTGTCTAGAGATATATTTATCAGTTCAAATACAACCAAATTGGTATGGTGACATTTCAGAACTTGCAGAAGACATTTCTATGTATGATAACTCACCACTATGGCATTTTTGGTACTGCAAGCAACAAAAAAACTTTTGCATGAGCATGCGTCAGCCAAGTTTTGGGTATGAAAGTAGCCACAACTGTTAAATGTCATTCTTATCAGCTACAACAGCTATCATCGTGCCAGAATGTGCATTTCTTGTAAAACTGTAAAGCTATTTTATGAAAATCAAAATGCACAACTTTACTTTGAGAATGATATCGTAAGAATTTCTGCTGAGGATCATCCATAAGCTCCTAGAAGAATGCTTGCTTGAAGAACTGGATGTCTGGGATTCAATCCAGTTGATGGTACAAACTTATAATTTCATGAGTCATTGAAGATGTTACCACAGCTGTTGTTTGACAGTCAATGAATAATATTGCAGACTCTAGTAGTGCATATGCAGTATCATTGGTAGTTGGATATATCTTATGGCACAGTGTGGAAGTGTAAGTTTGCCGACGTTAAGGGGGATACAGTTTATCTCGCGTCAGAATGAGCCTAAGGGAAACCGCGTATGTGGGCGGTGGCGAAGGAGGCAAATGATGTACAAGTGTTTTACAAGATAAAACCCGTTTATTTGTTCGAATTCATGCTTACATCGATAATGGACAATTCCAAAATCTCGGTGCTCCTGGGAACGGCGAAAGTTCGTGTGATGGGTCGCAGTTCGGGCGGACGAGAAAGATATCTGGACGAAGCAGAAGTTCGTTGTTACGTTGCGGCGTCCTCGGTGATCGGCGGATGCACAACACAATTTAAATCACCACTGTAGGCTTAATCCGGAGGAGACTCTCTTTCGACCTTGAAGTTCCGATTTTTATAGTTTTTCCCCCACTGTTCGCATTTCGGATTGGTCCCTCGTCCCATTCCTCGCTTCCCGATTGGTCTCTCCTTTGTCTCCAGGTGCAAGATGAAACCTTTTCGGGTCGCGGGAAAGGTCTGATTCGAGGTGTCCATCTGATACCTCTTTGTCGACTCTGCTCGGTGACTGTTTATAAAACAATAACACCTGCACTCATAACTCAGGCCGTTGTTTATACCATTTTTTGATGTCTAAGAATTTAACGATCATTTTCATCTATCATTTATCAAAAATTTCCCTTTTTTTTTTTTTTGTTCGAAAAGGTTTATCTCAGCCAACATTTTATAGACACGTGAGTCAATGATCTACCTATTTATGAGTGCTCGTGTTAGAGTTTGTCTTCCGCTAAGACCTTAACAGATAGTTTGACACATACTCGAACAGTTCCGAGTCTCGTTGTTTACATCTTGTGTTGTTCAAGAATTTCACGGTTTACTCGAGTTCGAACCTCGTCTGGAAACTCACAGAAGGTATTGAGAAATTTCATGCATTGTTATCCATACAAGATAAGCCACAACTAGCATAGTAGTTGTTTGCTGCCAACAGGGAAATGAAACTGATCTTTGCATTGATCTTTCTTGTCAGAATGGAAGAGGATGTGATCTGCCATGAAATATCCTGCAGCATGACGAGGCCAGGTTTCACCTCAGTGGAATAGTAAGCACCTATAACTGTTGTATTTGGGTATGGAAAACACGAGTGTTTTCCAGTAGATTCTATTGTACTTACCTGAAATAATCTGGTGTGAATTTACAGCCATATTTATTCTTGGACCATTTTTCTATGAAGAAGCTAGTCCCAATGGGCTTGTGTCATGCTTTGTGATGGCCCAAGATAGCAAGAGATTATCAACATCTGTCATACTCCAACTGTAACAGCCAGAATGACCTTTATTCAACCATTTGCATGCAATATGGTGGTGCTTCCACATATTGGATGCTGTATACAGCAATTTCTGTGGCAACATTTCACTGATAACTGACATGACACTCCCTTCAATCTTTAACTGTTAAAACTTTAGCATCAGTGCCCCTTATGTACAAGTTACCATGCCAAATTTCATTACTTAATTATTATCCCATTCTGAGATATTAAATGAAATTAGACAACTGATTAGTTGTGTGTTTCCTACACCTGGCCATCTTGTTCTCTGAATCTCTATGATTTTTGGTTGTATGGGTATCTAAAAAGTATGGTTTATTGAGGACATATTATAAATTTAGTAACCTTGAAAGACAATATTACACTATGTGAGAAGCATCACAGCAGATCATGTATGGTTAGCTGTCAAACACTCTTTATCTCCTTCAGGTTTTACATCTTCAAAATGGGGATCACATTGAAAATTATTCTCTGCATTGCTAAGGTCTCTGTACAGCACAAGTGTCTTGTACAAATAAAATGTTGGTTGCTTGCAGTGCCAAAAGTGCCATAATGATGAATTATTCGTTTTATTAGTAAATTTTTTGTATGAAAATATCTTCCACATGTCCATACAAAAAATTTAATAGTAAAACATACCATACCCTTAAATGTCACTATACCAGATTTGATTACATTTGGACTGCTAAATAACTTTCTAGATAGAGTTGAATAGGGATACTTTAATTACAATTATCCAGTATATTATTCATATAATTTGACATGTAGTTGTGATTGTTGGAATATCTGACCTTCAATTTTAATTTATTTATTAAATCTATCTATGTTTATATTAGTTAGAATAAACTGTAATTTGTAAATCTATATTTTATTATGTTTGTACAATCAGGTATTATTTAAGAATTTAAGTATCAGTATTTATACATATTTTCTGATAAAAGTCATTTGTAGATTCATACAAGCAGAGATCTGTCAAAATTAGAACAGGAGCATAGATTCATCTTTCAAAATTTAAGATTTATATAAATTTATAAGAAATTATAATTTGGAGTAGATTAAATATTGCCAACAAATGCAGTTTGATCATAACAAATGTTTTAGTTTACAATGTTTTATCTTAATTTAACTATTTTGAATTCAATTAAGGATATTTTTGGAGTAATTTATTACGAAGTATAAACTTTTATTTGTATTTTTAATTGCTAAATTTCTGCTAATTTTGAATTTGTTCTCATAAATTTAAAGAATAGTTACTTTCTTAAACTGCAGTAAAAACTGTTTATAATGTATTATATTATCAATAGAAATATCTGCATATCAGGAATTCTGTATTATTAATAAAGATAGTGAATAAGTGAATTAATAAAATTTTAGTGATGGTAAGAATGTATTAGTTTTAAGTAGTATGAATGAAAGTGTCTACTTTAATACAAGCATAGATTAATAGATCAATACCAATATTTAATGAACTAAATTTGATTTTTATACTATTTTGTAATATTAATAAAGGAAAGTATTATTTATTTTAATAAAAAAAATTTATTTTGTAGGTCTGCTGGACTTAAATTAATCAAGGTAAGAATTTATGTTATAAAACGTTAGCTTAAGTGAAAATTAGATAAATAACAATTTATTACAATAAATTTAATTGCAAATTAACTATAAAAAAAATCATTCAAAAATGAAATTGTATATGCATAATAATAATAAGATATACATATTTTGTAATTATTTATGAGTTATTTAACCTATTTTTAGTCTGGATAAAAGTTTCAATGTTAGATTTACATCATTTCCTCATCAATAACAACATTTTAGTTTTTAATTTCATATTATATTAATTGATTTTAAATCATTAAACTGATGGTTTTTTTCATGTTTATTAAGTAATTGTAATACAAATTTTTGTTACAATGGCTTAACGTTTTCAATTTTTTATATTGTTTATTTAAACATGAATGAAATGACATTAAAACTTTATTATTTGAAAATAACAATTTCTTATATATTGAAAAGTTATTTTGAATCATTTCTATTAATACTTGTACAATTATATTTTCAATAGCTTCAAAAGTAATGCTACAGTGAACATTTTGAATTGTGTATTATCTTAAAATTGAATACAAAATATTTCATTCTATTGTGTGTAAGGGTGTAAATAACATATTGCATGTTTTATTACTAACCAAAGCCAATGCAGGAAATCTATTGAGTTGTATAATACACATACATGCATGCACGTTGTGGGACGTGTGTCTGGTAGAAAATAGTATAATTTTTGAACAATTTATTAGAAACAAGTTGTGTTTGAGAGTTTGATAACAGAGGAATGATTTGTGCATGTTGTACATTGTACATGTATCAAAACAATAAACATGGTATTTGGTCCCAGATAGATAGCTCTGGATGCGCTGGAAAAGGCTAGAGATGGTATCAGATGGTCTTCATAGAGCCCCAAAACCTTATTTAAACCTCTTAGACTTTGCAATATTGGGGGCAACTAAAGATAAGATTTGTCTCTCAAATGGAGAACCTTCAGACTCTTCAAGAGTATATAATAGATTCAATAAAAGGAATTTCAAGTGGTCAGACACCTGTATTATTGACCAATTTTATGAACACCTCCAGAATTTGATTGTATCAAATGTTATATAAACAAAAAAAATGTAATAGACATGAGGCAGATTTTGAACAAACAACTACATTGGAAATTTTTCTGAATAATGATTTACAGAACTGATTTGAATTTAAAATTTAGTTGTTGTTCTTTAAAAACATTTTCTTTAATTTTTTTTCTATTCTCTTTTCTATTTACTATTTTAATCTAAAAAGTCAGCGTGATATAAATTTCTGCAATATTCCAGTAAAACAAAAAATTCATATATTAAAATATAAAATACTTGAAATTGGCATAAGACTTTGCAAAAGAAGTCTTACGTGATTATATTATTAAAGATGTTAGTCTAAATAAAATTATATTTAATAACTATATTTGGAGAATCTTTGTAAATATAAGGTTTCAAAGCATTTTTATAATATCTAATTCTAAATTTACAATGGTAAAAATAGATTAACACATTAGTTTTTATATCAGCATCCACAAAAATCATTTTGTCACTAATAATGATTCTTTTATTGAAATAAAATTTTTAATTTTTATATATAAAATTTTATTATTATATCAATTTCAAAATTCTTTTGAATAGTTTTAATTTAATTTTCATAAGTTAACAGTGATGAGTATTGTGCTAATTCTGATGTGATCATTTATTAATTTATTTAATTTTAACAATTAATTTAATAAATAATTTACATAAGAAATCAAAAAATATTCTCCAAATTAAAATTTGCTATTTCCCTGTAATTAATTTAGAATTTCCTTAATATTAATATTAAGAAATCACATTTTATATCATATCAAGAATACTTTCACTAACCAAATTTTGTGCTTTTAAAATTTTTACCCTTCAGCAGTACAAATATTATGAAATTTATCATAAAGATTTGTTAAGTTTTTTACAAAGTCAAAGAAAATTGCAAAGAAAGTCAATAAAATACATACAGTAATACCCCGAACTTGCAATAGGTGGGACCGAGTGATAACCGCATAAGTCGAATTCGCGTAAGTCTGGGTATAATTTTGCAATTTGTGTAAAATCCAAGTTGGATGTATTTAAGCTAATAAATGTTCTCGTTAATCTTATCTCTTCTTTTGATTCGTTCACGGTTACAAGAAATCACCACATAGTCTCTCGAGTCTCCTTAGATATAACAAACACAGAAATAAATAACACAAAATAAATTGTAGCTATGTGTCGATTCCGCACGGCACGTCAAAACATGTAAGCTAAACAATAATGTGGGGGGAGTGAGTAATCGTGAGTTGCGTGGCGCTCAAACAAAAGACGAATCGATGAGATTTGAAAATCGTGTAACTCCAGGTTCACATAAGTGAGGTATTACTGTATTTATTTCATTTAAAATTATTTCAAATTGTTCATTTTGATTAATTCTTTAACATGCAAGTAATTTATGTTGCTAGTTATTAAATATATTAATGGAGTATTTCTGAAAAGGTTTACATTTTTAATTGTTACTTATAAAGACAACTTTTTAATAATTAAAATTTCTAAGATCATGTTTCTCTCACACACTTTCTTTCTCCCATCAAATTAACAATACCTTGCAAAACAAAATATAAAGCTGAAAAGCATTAGCGTATAATAAACTGTGCTTACATTATAATATAATAATTAAGCATAATAGGAAATATCATAAATTAAAAATAATTCCATTCGTTTATAAAAATTTAATAAACTGATCACTTTATGATGGTGTGATAGTGATGCACAGTTTATATGTCATTTAAACTTTGAATTTTGATCCATTCCCACACTAGAAAGATCCTGTGCAATACTTTCTATTGATGCCAGGCAACGGCATCATCCACCCAGCATAGGTAACTGCCTCTGGGGTTCAAGATTTAGTAATTATTTATCCGGGTTTGTGTCCCGTTTAAAATTGGACTGACCAAGATGATGAACATTATGGAGTAAATTTTATAAGGAATATTCAAAAGGAAAATGTACTGGACCAACCTCAGAAATATATGCTGAAGAAAACCATTTGCAGAAGAATTTGATGCTATCAACATCATTTTACACAAGGATTCAGTCTGAACATGATTTTGTGTATACAAAGACGTATAAATGCATAAAGACACTAGTTTGAGCATCTTCTGTATGTTTAAATGATGTTAGATTCTAACAAGCATCATTTGCCTAAATTCACTTTGTTTCTAGTGAGTGGGATTGATTTTACATGGGACACAAATTAATAATACAGGGTGTATTATGTAATTTAAAAATTCAAAATTTGAGATATTAGAATTTTATATGGAACCTGTATTAATAGCAGTTAAATAAATAAATAACATATTCACAGTAATTACTTATTTATGATTAATAACTACTGTCACTGAATTTCATATATATAATCTCCATATTCAATTTTTAATGAATCTGTTATAAGCCGAAAATATGGTATGTAGCTATTGTAAGTCAAGAAGCATCTGTACTATATAAATGATTTATTTTTTCTTTAAAAATTATAATTACTGAATTTATATAATTTGTGTTATAAATACTGTAATAAATTGCAACTTTTTTTCTGAATGAATTTTTTGTATTTTATAGAAAATAACCACCACTGTTCTATAATTTATTCTTTGTAACAAATCATATACAGTAAAATGTATTGTTAGAAATGTTAAGTTTTTACATTGTTTTTCTATTGAAAACAATACATAGAGAACATTAATAATATAATTAAAAAATTCAATTACATATAGTTTTGTTATTGTTATTTTTCTAATTTTATTCTTTCATTTATAAGTATAAAATATTAATTCAAAAATGATTGATAATTGTTTTTTTCAAAAGCAATACATACTTGACACCAAAAATTACATAACTAAGAAACACTGTCTTTCGGCATTAAATACTTTAATAACTTCATACAAGTAACCATACTACTACTATTGACACTGTATCAATGTCATCTTCAGGCAAAGAAGAATGTATATGGAACATAGTTATAACATTTTTTTTTTTTTTTTAACTTTTTGACATAGTAAAAAGAACGCATTTAAAATTCTTTCACATCATTAAAGTTTTTCTAATGTGTCAATGTACTTTTTTAAAAACTTTTTATAACTACATTCCATATATGCTCTTCACCTCAAGATGGCATTGATAGTGTTGAAAGTACTAGCATGGCACTGCTTTTATGAAGTTACTAAAATACAATGTACTTTAATGTTTATTAATTAAACATTAAAGTACATTAATGTGTTTCTCTTATTAGTTATGTAATTATTTTGCTATTAAGATCTTCCAATTAATTGCTTATACAGCAAAATAATTTGCAAAGGATAAAATTTAGATGTAATAACAATAACAAGTCTACTAGTTCATATTTATTTCATGTAGTTTATAATTTATTTCAATTAAATTACAATGGAAAATAAATACTTATTTAGATATTTTGATTTATAAAGAACTTATTTAAATATTAGATTGATTTGGAAAAACCTTTAGAAGATCAAGGTCCTTTCACTGCTATCATTCACAAGTTAACCGATGTGATCGTGAGAGGAGACCGTGGCGACGAAGCAGCAAAACAAGCATATTCTGCATTTAAGGTAACAAACAACAGAGTTTTGTAGCAATGGTCAAAAGAATTACTTTGTCTGTCATAACTATCATAATTTACTTTAGAAATACATCGGCCAACATCGCAACATTATTATGATTGATCCATTACAAAATGTTGAAAAACTTCTGTATAGATATTGTCAATATAAGCTCATTGAAGAAAGTGAATTGGGCAAAGCAGGTATGTACTGTATATTCTTATTTCATGATGATTTTTATTAAGAAAATTTTATTAAATATTTATTATTACAGATGGTGTATTTACACCAGCATTTGCAGAATTAACGTCAACTGATATCGAAGAAAATATTAAAAAGTTAAAAGCAGCAGGTGTTGAATATCCCTTTGGTAATATAATTTTCAATATCTGTTATAAATAAAACTTAATTGGGCAATAATAAATACTATCTTTTTAGTCTGTAAACCATCTTTGGCACATGGTTTAAGTTATGCACATCAAGTAAGTACTTGATCTTTAGTAGTAAATTTGTGTTATATATTTCTATATAATTTATTATATTATAGATGTCTCTTATTTTTGGAGAACATGGACTAAAAGATATCACCCCACCCTGTGTTGCCCAAACATTTATTATTCATAATGCTATCTTATACAAATTATTTGTAATTGGCTCTAATTATTTTGTTATTGAAAGACCTTCTCTAAAGAATTTCACTGCTGGAAGTATGTATTTAAATTTGTTAAAAATTATTATTGTCGCAATTAAAATGATTTATTAATTACTAAACTATCTTAGATTATCCAACAATCCGTTTCAACAGCCACGATATTTCTAAACCACACTCTGCTTCTTCTTTAACCGAGGTGATTATCAAACTAGATCAGCCATTAGTAAGATGAGAGAACTACATTGTATCCCATACTAATGATTTTTATTTCAGCTTGATTCGGTTGATGAGGATTGTCCTATTATCAAACCAGATAAAGAATGCCTTGATCGTATTGTAGATATCACACGACAGAAACTTGGATTGAATTTACTTGGAATTGACGTTATTGTCGATAACAGGACTGGAAGATATGCAATAATTGATATGAATGCATTTCCAGGTAACTTTTTCTCCTAGAATTTAATTACATCCATTAATTTATAGCTATAATTTTAATTCTAAAATTGCTCTGGACAAACAGGTTACGATGGCGTCGATAATTTCCTCGATCTTCTCTGTGATTTAATACTCACAGAAATCAGGAGGTTGCAGCCATCAAACAAAGAAATTAATGGAATTATAGAACATACTAACCATTCTTTTTCTTCTGGGACCTACAAGGGATATCAGCTTTCGATATCTCCTGTCGATCATTCCACAGAAACCAAGCTATATGACGTGAATGAAATTGCATATGGCATTTCTCCAACAGCACATAATCTAATGTATCAGTTGGAACAAACAGGACATATGTCCCTCCCATTAGCCGATTATCCTAATATATTTGATACCTCAATTGTGCCTGAGAATATTAAATGGAATCAGTCTATAGATCCTACAATAAATTCCCTGTCTGTAGAAAAGTTGTTAACTCCTATAGACAGCAGTCAAGAAGATTCGGGAATTGATACGTCAGATTCCTGCGACGAAAAGAAAAATAAAGTGGTACCGCCAAGGATAACAAAACGTCAACATTCCCGTGGCCACGCCACAATTACTGCCAGTCCCACATCTAAGGAATCGTAAAAGAATTTTTTTGTCAATTTATTTTTAACGGCCATAATTGTTGGCAGGTTTTATATGTGGACTTGTTAAAAAAATAATTATGCTTTATATAAAATTATTATGGAACCAACATATACTAAATTATATAGATGTGTGGCCGAACTTATGATGTGGATTCCGGTGTTCTTTACTATATCATGGAATTATTTATTTCATATTAAAATTTCTTTTTTTAAAATGTGGACAAAATTTGCTTTGTGACTTTTTTAGACTTAATATTTTAAAAAATTATTTTATTACTGAATTGTAAATTTATTTACATATTTTAATTCTAGTTAATGACCCAAAAAAAGCCAAATTTATATACAGTTTTACCATCATTGTTCATAAATTTATTTCCATAAAGGTTGTGATGAACATGTTATATACTGTATACAATTTATTGCTGTATGGCATTAATTCAAAAAAATCTACATCACAATTTTGTCTTGTGCATCTTGTAATGCTTTGTGATGAATTATATTGTTGGAATCTTTTTTAAAAACTGTATATCAATGTATTGTCTGTATTTAAATTGTTTTTCTTGTATAGTATTGATAAATTTGTAATAGAATTTTAGAAGTGTATTCAATTTCTGCAATACCTGCAGAACAATTATTCACAATTTATTTCCTTGAAATGGTACATAGGCACTGCAGATATCAAAAGTACATCTGTTAATAAAAAATATTTCATTTTAATACATTTAGAGATCTTGCAACAATAAAAATTGGGAATGGTTGAATCTGCAGCAAGTGTGCATAAAGCACCATTAATTCTTTATAAATAAAAATCTTTACATTAAATCACATATTTACACACAAACATGCTTAGTTGGGACTAACAAAACAAATGTGTCACCTTGCTGGCCACAAATCATCCATATTAATATTTCCATGTTGCATTACATTTAACAATTTTAGACTTTCCATATAAAATGTAAGTTCTTGGGTTACTAAACTATAAAAGTAAATATTTACAAGTTAATACCAATGAAATTTAAAGTTTAAACAATGAAGAAAAAATTGCTAACCCATGCTGCGGTCCTCCGTCATTATTCACGTGCAACTGTGCCAGGTGGGTCCGGAGTTTTGTTTTAAAATCTGCATGTATCTGAGTAAATAAATCTTGCAAAAATTCCAAAGGCAACAGATCGGACACTGCTTCGTGAAATTTTGTTAGTTGCTTTGAAATAGAACGAAAGCAGGAGGAAGGTACTGGTGCTTTTACTTCCCACTAAAAATATAGTAAGATAATTGAGATTTATTACAATTTTTCAAGAATATCAGAGGGGGAAAAAACTTCATACCTTTGCCAACTGATTTTCAAACATACTTCCAATAATTGTTACAAGCTTGTTTGATAATTCATTGATATGATTATTATAATCCTAAATAAAAAAGAAAACAATGATGCTAGCTCTTGTAGGAAACTTCTAAGATAGATAAATTATATGGACACAAAAAATAATTGCCTTAATGTTAATAGAAATTGTCTTCATTCTAAAATTTATGGTAATGTTTCAACTTATAAATATATTAATTTTTACAGTTTGTGAGAGAGAATAATGTATTTAAATGACAGGACTTGACAGAATATGAATTTACCTATATTAATAATTGACTGTGCAGAAATATCTTATTCAATTCAAAAATAGCTTTCAATCTAATTATTGCTATTAACCTGTCAAAAATTATGAAATAAGAGCTTGGAAACAATGATAAGACAGATTTTTGTAAAGAAAAAACTATTTGAAAATCTTTTTAACAAATCCTCAAGACTATCATTAATATATAAGTTAGCATAATACACTGCTGGCCAAGTAAAATGCATTGCAATATCTAGAGGCCTACATGGTGTTGCATTTTACTTCCAGCAGTATATTTAGCCTCAAACCATCTTGAAAATAAAGAAATATATTAATTACAACCTAAATAAAATGAATTTTGTTCCAGTTTCACTTTGTCAGCTTATAAAACATTTATCTTATTCATAACTTGACAAAAGTACTTTTAAATTATTCTATTAATTTCAACTTATTTTATTACTATTGATTGCTCCTACCATTTCCTGTTCTACATCAAATGACACATCTTATCACTTTATGTGGCCATATATCTGTGTATGTAAATATCCTGCTTATGATTATTGTACTTGATATCTTTATAAGATGCTAAAGCATTTGTAAAGATACAAAGTACAAATTGCATTCATTTTTTAATCACATTTTGTAGAAGTATAAATAAAAAATTTATAATGAATTTCAATGTTTTGTGTCTTATTAAAAACAAAATACATAAAATCATGTCAAACTTTTCTTAAGATTAAATAAAACAAAGAAAAAAGTTTTTGGTTAATTTCAAACTAACTTTTTAGATGAAAATTATACACCACAAATTTCTTGTTTTAATTATAAATACTTCTTCAATTAAAGTGAATTTTGAGGAAATGATTTGGAGCAGCATATTTTTAGTTTTATTGTACAAACTCTGAACTGAAATAAATATCTTACTTGAGATATCTCATCTTTTTTGAAGTTACTTGAAACGTTGCTACATATGATATATAATATAATGTATAAAAATAATGGGAGTTTGTTTATAGATTCAAGCATGATTCCTGTTTTCAACTGAAAACTAGAGGTGTCAGCCTACTGCTCTGTGGACCCCTGACAAGCCTGGGCAGGTTGAAAACCCCAGGACTTTTCTGGAGTGGCCCACCTGAATATGTCGGAGCCCCATCTTTGACTGCCTGGCTCCCCATTGTGGACCTGATCAAACTCATGATGGGCTTGGAAGAAAAGCTTTTAGTATCCACAGAAAGAATAAAGAAAATAAAAAAACAAAACAAGAGAATAGGATGTACCGTACCATATTTACTCAAATAGATTAAATAGCATCTTATAAAACAAACCTTACTTTCTGTACGTTCACTCTATTTGTCAACAGAATTGGTTCAGTTGGTATAAATTTGCTCATTACTTATATAACACTACTTTATTGTGCAATAACTTATCTTCCATGGTATCAAAGTCAGAAACTTTTTCATGTTCCATGTTAGGTTCTTCTGAATCAACACTGGATTTGATGCTCATATCCTCCCACATGCAATCATCCTCCATATCATTTAAAGAATTAGAAATGCAAAATTTTTTGAACAAGTGCTGCAGGATTTTTTATGGGATTCAAGTACTTACAATATAATAGACTAATGAGATTGAGTTAAGTTGACCTCTTAAATATTTGCTATTATCAATATTAGTCTAACAAATTAATTAAAATAACATTAGTAATTAGTGGAAATAAGATTCATGCCATTAGAGTTTGCTAGTTAGATTTGATGTAATACCACCATAAGAAGTACCCTATTTTCAGAGATACTAAAACCTGAAAAAAGTGCAACTTACATTCAAGTAAATACAGTAACAAATTAATTGAAATCAATACCTAAGCAATTTGAGATGTCAAAACAATTGATGGATGCCAAATTAGCATTTGGAATTCCAAATAATATAATAAATTAAGAAATAATACATCATAACATCTCACTATTTACCAAAGCAAAAGGCCACTACATCATTAATGCAGTTAATCTCTCAATGCAACCATGTGTATCAAAATCACGTTAGAGGAAATATTTTTTAAATAATTAACTTTATTAAGCTTTGTTAAGTAACAAGTTAGAAAAACATTACAAATGCTATGAAATATGTAATGTTTAAAAGCTCTGTTTCTACACTCTTCTACATATATAATGACTTTTAAGGTTGTCACTTAATGTTCTTGAAAAGTGCACTTTAAATATTAAAAAAGGAGTTTAAATTAAATGCTCACTACCAGCAAAGCTCATTTGAACTGATCATTTAGCAGTATAACCAAAAACATCTATTACTGGTGCATAACATATCATGTGACTGTAAATATAAGACCATTAATTCTAAGACATTTCTCCATTTCAGACTAATAGAATGGATTAAAAAAAATGTGAATCTCAGGAGAGAAAATATGCTAGTTTAAATCATTTGAATGATCACACTGATTAAATTTTAACCAGATGATTTTATGAGAGCAAGTTTATCAGCTCTCATCCTAACCTAATGAATATTATAAAGTTATTTGGCAAAAATAAGATATGACATGATAGAATAAATCTTTAACACCTTTACAGAAAATGAACAGTAGGTTTTGCACCTTTTGCATATTACTTACACATAGTTTTACAATGGTGGAAATTAATATCCAATTCAACATAAGAGTTCTAAACCATAATTAAATTCCTGTTTCACAGGAAATTCAACAGACATTGAAGAATGACTGTACCAGTTATTCCATCATTAAAAAGTGGGGATAAGCAATTTTTGGAAAAGTGACTTTGGCTTTCAAAATGTAGACTGATCAGGGAGATCAATTTCCATCTTTGCACCAGAAACCATCAATGTTGTGCACCACTGATTCTTGGATTTCCATCAAATTTCATTGAAATATGTATAGCTGAATATCTGCAGATAGCCAAAGAATGGATCAGACATATTGTCCCCAAGAAACTAAAGATCGGTAAGTTAAGTTGTCTACAAAATAGGTTCCAAAATCCATTACCCATTGATCAAAAAACATACACAAATGGAAATGTCAAAGGTCATTTTGGCTTTCTTTTTTTTAAGAGTGATGTTTAGGATTTCATGAACTGATTAATGAAAATGGATGACACTTTTTTATATTCATATGATCTGAAAACAAAGCAGCAGTTCATGAAGAGAAGACATGAGCATTTCTCATCATCGAAGAAATTCTACATACAACAATTTTTGAAGAAAACTTTGACTATCCCAGAAAAGTGATGCTAAAGCAGTGGCGTAGCGTGAGTGTCAGCCACCCGGGGCAAAGGAAAATTTCGCCGTCCCCTTATTTAGGTATCTCAATTTAAAAGACTAAAATTCAGTTTTGTCACAGAATAAGTAATAAAAATTCCGTGCTAGTGTTGCCATCTTTTTAAAATCGCTGAGCCAGGTGAGGTTTGTTCGAACAGAAGTTCCTGACGCATGCGTATGTCATTTTGCAATGCGAAGAATAATGTGCAGTGCATGTTGGTTCTAAATCAGTTACAGTTAGCGACTAGGGAGACTTGGGTAGGAGTAACGTAAGTAACCTAGATGACTTAGCTCTATTGGATATTGGAGGTGTATATGAATACAAATAAATCGTACAAGAAAGGAAAAATAAAAGGTCGACAGTTTGCGCACAATATCCCCAGGTAAAATTAATAGACCCAGACTGTCCGGATGGTAACACTATTCTGTGCTCATTACAATCGGTCCAAATCGTAGGTGCAATGAAAATATGAAATGAAATGGTTCAAATTTTTACAAGATATTATTATTATTATTATTTGTTGTGAAATTTTGCCGCCCCCACTACGCTTTGCCACTGTGCTAAAGTACAGTGGGTGATCGGTTAACGAACAAATCGGATAACAAACATTTTCACAAAAGATTTTTATGATCAGACAATGAACACCTCACAGAACAAACACAAGAAGAAGCGACATAAAATAATGAATATCGATTGGTCTTCCCTTGTCTTTGGGCAACAATTCAAAACTTTTCAGAGCACGGGAGAGGTCAACATTGACACTCAATCTGGTATATACTGATCGGATAGTATTCCTCCAAACTTTGAAACTCTCCCTCGTAATTCCAGCCTTTTATTTTTCTGACAGAAACAATCCTTTTATAGTATTCACAAGACTGTCAGGTAAGACTCTGCCCGACAGTCTCGCGGTCATTAAGTTTTGCGTCAGTTTTTATTTTTGAAAGGTGAGAGTATAATAGCAAAAGTAGAGAGTGGGCAGATGTCTGATGTCTGTTGTTGCTGGGCAGTATGGCTTGAACAGGTCTACAGTAGGCTACAGTTCAATCTTATCTAAGAAAGCTGATGACAAAAGAACACCAAGAACTCTTGAATGAAGAACACCAAGAAACTCGGCAAGATACGTTTTCTTCTGAAAAAGAGAATTAATGTCGATATCTGCTATTAAACATCAGGTCAGAACAACGGTCTTAGAATGGCATCCAAACCAGGTTGAGGTTAATAGGCTTAGGTATCTCTAAAATTACAATGCTATTAATTACTTCTGAAAAATCTCGAAGAAGAGAGAAAAGCAATCGATATTAGACAGATTCTTTAACCCCCACAAACAGAAAAAAAGACTAATAAAAATGCAAGACTGGACTGTGTATATATGTATCTTTATTATTACATATAAATAAATGTAGTAAGAAAATATATATTTTTTTATTTTTTGAAGTTTCCAGAACGAATTCCCATAAAAACCTATGGTAAATCGATAATTGATTAAGGAACAATTCGGATAGCAAACAAAGTCTTGGAACGTATTATCTTCGTTAACCAATTACCCACTGTATTAGTTAGGGTCAGATCAATATGGATCTGAAAGCAAAACTGAAAGAAACACAATGTGGAAAGTTCTACAAAGGCATCATTTTTTTTTGTATGACAACAATCTGGTACATATCACCAGAAAAGTGATGAAGTTGAATGAAATGAAGTTCAAACAGTCCAATGTCCACCTACACCAAACTTAGCTCCCTCAGATTACCATTCAAATGGGAAAAAAAATTGAAAAAATACCCAAAAAGAAGACATTTCAACGATACTAGTGACATCATGGAAGCTAAACAGGACAGATACGTTGAAACTACAGGAAGTGCTTCAAGACTAAGGGAAAATATGCTGAATAATATGTAGTAGTTATTCACATACCTTATTTTCTTCTGCATTAAGTCAAAACCATATCAGTATTAAGTCATACCCATGTAATTTTCAAATATTTTCAATTTTCCTTATGTTTAATATTAAAGAATTAATTCTGTTTCAAATGTTTGTTAAAACTACAGTCAACTTGCTTTAAAATGAACACCAATAAAGAAAATTCTCATGTTAAAGCAAATTCTACCATTTCCCTGGTAAAACATCATTGCACAGTGTTAATTTTCACATGATAAAGTGAACAAAAATTATACCAGAATTCATTAAACCAAACTGTAAATTACCGTTACCCAAGAAATAATCCTATTTCAAATAACTGTTGCCATTTACACTTTTTGAAGTGAACAATAAAAAGTGGTACTGTAATAAATGTTTCATTTTGAGTAAATATATTTTCTCCTCTAGTATGCAAAAACAGGTTCGACCTCTGATTGTAGAGCAATTCAAATATCTGGTTTTAGCAGACCATTCTACTTAACTCAGAAACTAGAAGGTTAAAGTTTAAGGACACCTTTCCCTTTAAATGGATACAGTCCCATGCAAACATATGATAGTTTGCTTATCAAGGAGTGTATACAGTGATGCCTGGCTTGGCTACTTTTTCATAAATTTGACTCCTGTTTTACTCTTTTCGCATCAAAAATATTTTCTACCTTTTCAAACAATCTTCAACAGAAAAAAAATCAGATTTCTTTTAGCTTTGTTTTGTTTAGCCACTCTGATATACTTCTCCACACTTTTTTTTCTTTTTTTTAACTCTTTCCGCCCTGTGGGCACTAAGAGGGCCTCTTTTAGCAAGCTCATTATGGGTTCGACCAGGTCCACAATGGGGTGGCCAGTTGGTAAGGGACAGGGCCCGACATATCCAGACAGACTACTCCCGAAAAATTCCTGGGGATTTTTCAACCCATTCAGATTCAATTCCAGGTCCCCCAGAGCAGTAAGTTGCCATCTTGACCACTCAGCCATCTGGCCGTCGAACTTCTTCATACTTAAATTATAAATATAGTCTCCTCCTCATTTTGTTTGATTTGAAAATCATGTAGAACATTAATTTATTTTTGTAAATAAATTTAACTTTATTTAGTAAATCAATTCAAAATATTATAATTTAGAAAATTCAATAACCTATTAAGCCTTAACTCCCTAAATTATACAACCTTGATCCTGAAAATTGATAATATGAATTTTCAATAAAGCAAACTAACTACTGTTTCCATAGTAATTTGTATTAAAACAAGTTGACTGTATTATAATTATAATTAATCTTACAAAAAAAGGAGCTAGATTACAATTTCAAAGCAACTTCTAAATCTTTTCACTCAACCTTTATAAGAGAGGTAAAGCAATAATGGATTTTAATACATTTGTATTATTTATCATCATTCAATTTGTATTAAAACAATAAAATACTCAATATCAAATGTATTTCTTATATATCCTAGTGGGAATTTAAATAATTTACTTACTTTTAATATTTCATCAAAATGTTTGCACATAAACTGTTGTTTAGTTGTAAGTATATCTTGAAAATGTGCTTTCATATATGGTATATAAATAATCATTAATTCGAGGCATCTTAAAGCAAGAGCTATAGAAAAATCATGCAAAGACAAAACATTATCAAAAGAAATAACATAAAATTTCAGCATAACAATAATATAATATAACTCACCAAGATTTTTAGCAGTAATTGTTTTTAATCCTACTAACTGTAATGCACCAGCTCCTAATAACAACTGACTTGTCTTTGAATTAAAAAACTGCAAGATAGTTCTAGAATAATTATTAACAAATTTTTAAAAATTCATAGCAACATTTATGAATTTTACTCACTTTTAAGAGATCCACAAGTCTTGTTAAAAGATCTGGTGCAATCATTGGAATGTTTTTAGCACATTGACAATACTCCATTACCATTTTCAATAGTAACAGAACTGTTCTGTTAAAATTTAAATTAAGTAGTTTAAAATAATAATATAATACCTTAGAAGAGAAAAAAAAATGCTTAAAAGTAAAATACCTAACAACAGCAAAATTCTGCCCATTTACAACCAAAAAGCTCTGAGCCGGTCTTTCATTATCTGTTACAGAACGTTTAGGTATTACTGTTAATGTTCCTGTAAAAATAAATTTCTTTATTTTAATTAAATATTTTATAAAATGTAGAGAATATGAGATTTATAAAATACCCTTTTGTGATATATGATCTACCAAATCTTGAAATTCCGAAGGAACATCTACTTGTTTCCATTGTTCACTATTTAAAAGTAAGCTAAAAAGAAATCAAAATTTGTTATGACAAATGTTAAGAGATTTATTTCAAAACAAATTAAACATAAATAAAAATCATTAAAAAATCTGACAATTGGCTAATGATGAAAGTGAAAATAATTTAATACAGATTTCAAAACTATATTCAATTTGGCAAATTTTGCTTTTAAACATTAAAATAAGATTAAATTATACAGAAAATAATTTAGACTTTAAAAAAATTTTCATTAATATAAAAGAAAAATTATAAATAATCTAAGGTAATGATAATGCATACAGTAAATGCTTTTAATTTAAAGAACATAAAGAATACAGTAGACCCCCTATAACACGGGTTCATATAATATGGATTCATATAAAACGGTGAAAAAATTGCGATTGTATTCGTATAAACATGCTAAAAGAGACTCGTATAATACGGTAAAATGTCATCGCCGACTCGTGTCACGACAGGATTGGTCAAATCTAGACCAATAGCGGATATTGCACAAACTGTTGAGTTTAAACGAGCAGCAGACCTACTAAAAACCATTTATTATTTAATGGCCATAAAAATTATATTTATATTAATGATGTCTCCAAAGTTCAGTGAATTTTTCGCAGAAAAATAACTTATCAGGAAACATGCACCCACCATTCGATGTGCCACTTCGCGACGAAAACAAGCTTAAGCAATGGCGTCGTCGAACGGTGCACACTTGGTAAGTAATCCACAATTTTTTGTTTATAGCATAGTTTATATGGATTATTCCCAAAAAATTATACGTATTTTGGAAATGTTGAGTCAAATTAGTCTAGAATAGATTAATTTTATGGAAGAAAACCTTTCAAACAGCCATAGTCCCTAAACTGCACATGTGCCAGGCTGTGATTGGCTCGTGTATTTAAGTGACTCGTACAACATGGAATTCATAAAACACAGAACATATCTACCGTGTTATAGGGGGTCTACTGTATATTACTGATAAATATTAATCATTTAATATATTCTCATATAACATTATGAAGCTGTGGTTCATTTTTCAAGATATTTTTTTTTTTTTTGCAAATGTCATGCTCAACTGACACTGCTTCGAAGTGCTATGTATATGTTTTTATTAAGGTTGTGACATAACAACAGTAGAAGAGAGAACAACTGACAATATTAAATTCAATAAAAAAAAGGNTGTCTCGCCCTTCTGTGAAATTTAACACCGATGAGTCATTGTTTACACATCTGGATGACCTTGAACACAGCTGGAGTTGGATTTCCCGGGGCATTCTCATAGACGTCGCGGGAGGACAAGGGTTTAAAGTAGGATGAACACTAGCTAGCCGTATATTTTTAAATATTTTTTAAAAATTTGGAGACTTAAAAAACATTCCAAAAATTCAAAAAAAATTTCAAATTTTAATTAACTCTTCACATCCAGATCTTAGTGATTTGTTTTTAGAGTGAGCTTTTGCAATTCGGGGATTCCCCTTGTATTACTTTTCAATAAAATGAACTGAATTAAGTTTGAATACAAGTTTATTTTAAGCTTTTATATGAATTTCTTTCAGACATTCGAAGTAATTTATTAAGCAGCCTATTTCTCTTAATTTCTGCAAATTTTTTATGCGGTTTTAAGTTAATTTTAACTCGTTGTTTTGGTTTTATGCGATTTTAGAAAATTACAGAACGTATCCCTACTTTTTCAAGGCAAGTAAAGTCTTTTTTTATGCGAATTTTTTATTTGCGTTTTTCTGTAGAACGTATCCACCGCATAAAACGAGACCTTACAGTATTTAGTGTACTATTAAAAACAGTGTTTGTATATAGTATAAATAGTAAGGACATACAAACTCAGTATAATTAAATGATTTAATATCTAATTCTAAAAGTATCAGTTTTTCATATAATGGCAAGTTTTCTCGATGTCATATTTGATGATTTCATTATCTCTAATTGAAAATTATTGGTCACTGTTCATCTGTTTACAAATTTTGTTGTTTTAATTAAATTATTTGTTTTCAAAAATAAATAAATAAATAACACAAAGGGAAAAAACCAAAAAAGTGTCATATTTTGAATCAACATAAGAACATATGTAAAGTCAGTTTGTACAAGTAAATGTGTAAGTTTTAGTGTTTTAAATATATGTAATTTGTGTAGTGTATGCATTTTGTCAACAAAAAATTCTAAAGTGAATAATTAGAGAAAACTAATTATTTCTTAAACTAAATAACTATCACCTTAGTTCACTTCATTGTGAGTTGGAAAAGGAAGAAAGTTAAAGAATTCCTGATAGCATTTTTAGCAACTAAATGTAAATAATGATGTTGATGATAATAATTAAGGCAACCCAAAAGCAGATAAAGCAATATCCGAATCCAACCATGTGTTGCTTACTGAAACCCTGAAATGAGTGCATACCATTCCATTTCTGGTTATTACACAAAAGTTATTAAGCAATAAAGCAGGATAAAGGAAAATTAAGGAACTTTGTCAAGGTAACCATGTTTTTTCCCTGCAGCCCTGTCCAACTCCCATACTTTGTCTCTTCATATCTTATAGCCAATTATAGCAACTTGTCAGCAAGATAGCAACTTTTTGAGAGCTTTAGCGGCATACTGACACCTGCGTTCAAATAAGTCAAAAATAGAGATTTTCTCATTTTTATATATCCACATGAAAATACAATATACAAATCTTGTTTACTGTATTTCAGTTCTTATTTACACTTTTCAAATTAATAACTATTTTTTCTATTAAGTTGTTTATATTACTTTTGTTTACCTTCTGTCAGTATCATTTTTACATATTAAAAATTTCATCTTCATACCTTATGAAGATTTAATTATTTCCTTTCAGAAAAATTGCAGTTTTTTTGTATTTAATGTTAAATAGAAATTTACTGTTTTTGTTAAATAAAATATTTGTTTATTTTTAAATTTTTACTTTGAATAATTTAATATTTTTTATTTGCTCAATTAAGTAGCAAAAAAGTAGCAACCTTTTAAGATTTTGGTAGCAAAAAAGATGATTTTTTAAATATAGCGAATTTTCTTTCCAGTTAGCAACTTAGCGCCCATCTCCCCAGGATCTGGTAACCATTAGTTATATCTGATATATTACTGTAAAGATTTGAATAAACCAACTTTCTAATTAAGTGTATTTCATTATATCTTAAGATAATGCCCAAAGACACCAGTTACAGCAGCTCTTTGATTACATGAATTTCCCAATGAAAGATTTGTAGTGGAAAATGGAAATTTGCACTGCAAGTATTGCAATACTATGGTCAGCTATGAAAAGAAATTCACTGTGAGTACACATATTGCAAGTGCAAAACATTGTAAGGGCAAGAATAGTAGCAGCAAGCAAGAAACCTTGCCATTTACTGCTTCCGAAAGTAGTAAACCTTCAAGATGGCAAGACATGGTTTCTGTATTCTGTTCTGTGGGAATACCCTTGCACATTTTTTGTCACAATGAGTTCCAAAAGTGGATGAAGTCTGATTTAAAACTATCTCCGAGTAAAAATTTGCCTAGTGAAAGCATCCTGTGCAGATTCTCCTCAATGTTGGAAACAAAGATTTAGACACTACTGCACAAATGTGTCAAGGTTGTGATACTAGATTCTGCTGAAGAAGTGTATACTAAGAACAGCATCCTAAACGTTTCATCTCAGGAATGAAGACGGCAAACAGAAGGCATTCATTCCAGGTACCTTTATCTTCCAAGAACCACTCTTCAACACTGCCACCTGTACCAGTTATTACCTGATGGAGGATGTGGCTAGAAGCAGTTTCATACTACTATAAGAGATGGGATGTTAAAGTGGCATAGATTAAAGAAAATCAGATTATGGAAGAAGTTGCAAGAGCTCAGTAAGTAACCTGATCAGTCCAAACTTGAAGAACAGCTACATGCAATTGTAAGCCAGGCTAAAGCCTTAAGCAACTTGATCAAGAAACTGGAATCACAGCCTGATCCAAATCCAGTGTTGTAGGAAGTGATATTTGGCAAATTTTTGGAGGCATTAGGAACTGTTGATACCACTTGGTATAGATTCAAAGCCCCAACTTTATCTAGATGGCAAACATCCAGCATGGCAGTTCTGGAAAGAGCTTGAAGTCCTGGATCCAAATCATAACCAAACAATGGACAGTATAATTTCTCAATTAGGCAGATTCTCTAAGAAAGAGATACCAAAGGGAAAAAAAAGCATACTACAATGCTTTAATCAACAACGAAAACAGCAGTATGCAATGATATAGTAAATTTCTGAAAGCACTCTACCAAGGAAATGCCGATTTTGAGTCAGCTGGCATTAAAAACTCTGTCAGTTCCTGCTAACAGAGTAGATGTGGAGAGGAGTTTCTACCCTAAACCATCTTCTCACGCTGAAGAAATCATCATTTACCAAGAAAAATTTGGACTTTCATATTTGCCTCATGTTCAATTCAGTTGATCTATCAGATTCAGACAAAGATATATAGTAATAGTAGTAGGGTTTCTCAAACGGGATTCCGGGATCCCGGTTGTTTTTTTAACCCGGGAAATTTTTCTTATTCCGGGAAATCCCGCAAATTTCTTAAAAATTCATTTTTTTTTTCTTATTTTGTGTTAAGGTTGAGGAATTTTGCAAATAGAAAGCATAATTAACTCATTCACTGTCAGAATACATTTGTATTTATTAATTTTAAACCTACCTATTATTTTTTTTAAATTTTTGCTCGTTATAGCATGTCACAAATGGTCAATAATCAATATATAGCTTATTTGTGGCAGGACTATAAAAATTCTTTACTTGTCGGAACCTGTAAATATCTGGAATAATTGTGCTTACGCTGTCTTGAGTTTTAACCATGCCCAGTAGCTTCAATAAATGCCTGACGCCAGATTGTGCAAATTGGGCAAGGATACAAACGAGTACAAAGTCTGCAAGTATGAAGTTTTTCTTCATAAACCTGATTATTAAAGCCAAATGAATTGCCGAATTATCGAGCTCTAAGCTTGATGCCGCTATTAAAGCAGCCAAGGTAGACAAATTAAGAATACTAGAGAGCGAAAGAAGTACTACCAATAAAAATATGAAGAAAATTTGTGTGCTGAATGCAAGTGGAATTAAAAAATATAAAATAAAATAAATTAGGCAGAATAAAGCGGAAAATTTCTGTCATAAAGCATAATATAGCAGAATTTTTATTTTTTAAAGCAGATTGTGGATTGCCTTAATAATAATACACTGACAGCAGGAATTTAATCATATAATATTGCTTGCCTTTTTTTTACCTTACCTTTTTAATACAAAATAACTGACTAAATGGTTGTAGAATAAAGCATAAGCCTATTTATATTGAAGATCCAGACTTGAGTTGGATCCAAATTGACAGTCATGATAACAGATTACATCAATCTGGATCCCATTCTGGATGATGGATTGGCTTAACATCAAGAGTTAAATAATCAAATATATAACCTTAATGAGACAATGCCTTACATACTGATAAAATCAACAATCTAATACTAAATAATTATACATTTCATACACAAAAAGTCAATAATTTAAATTATTAAATGCTAAATATTTAATTTAAACTCATTACTTCTTTTCCTATTAATAAATTTTACCATTAACAATTACTATATACTATAACATTAATCTATACATTACTCACTTAAGATTGGACTTCTTATCTTCGTGGAACCTCGAGACAAATTTATTAGCCTAATTAAAAAATGAATTTCAGTAAAGGTATGAACACACACAAATAAATTACAAATACTTTTTTATATAACTCTATATAATATCCATGAATATTTTAAAATAACTTTCTCTATTTTCAAACCTACATTTAAATTAATAAATAATATTAAAACAATTGAGTTTATAGCTGGCTAAATGTTTATTTCTTCTAAATTGGAATTCCTAACTGTTATATTTAAAGTGTTTGAACTTTTCAGGTTCAGAAGAAAGTGTTTCAATTTGATATGACTAAACTACACTTGTGAAAATATTTCAATGAAATAAAAATTGTTTTTTTCTTTTTTATATTGTCTATTAATTTTGATAAGTGTAATAAAAGTGGAAGTGGATCATTCAAATCTGACTGAAAAATTTTTTGATCCACAAAGATATGAAGGAACACCCCTAAACAGTTTAAAATTTATTTTTGTTTGTTTAAATCTTTGTTTTTAAACAAAGTACTAGCTCATTCCAATAGACTTAAATAACAATTAGTTTACCTACCATCTAACTACATCATTATTATTACAGCTAATGGATCAAGGTGTTATTGTAATATTTAAGCCTTACTATCTGCAATAAACATTCATTTATTCAGATCACTTAAATAACAATAGAAGATATTTCATCTTTGCTAGAAGTTTCCAATAGAAATATGAGAACCATTTGGAAATTTATTTTGCCTCACTATAAAATGCCTTCACAACTTTTGGATCTGAAATTTAGGAATTTGAGAAGTATTATAAACTAACATAGGCACAAGCACAATGGCAGAAGGAATGTATTCAATTGGAGTTCCTCCTACAGTGTCGCAGGAATTGTTATTTCATATTGTAAACTTCAAACAAAATCTCAAATTTGAAATTATGAATTCTAACAAGATTCTAGAGTGTGCTATATTGTATTCAAAAAAATTTCAAGATCTTGGTTGCATGAATTTAGAAAAATTAAATATTGAATATATATATGAAGAAGAAAATAGAAATGATCCAAGTAAAACTCAAATGCTTTCAAAGGATTTCTCAGTATGTCAACTTTAAAAATTATTTTATTTTATTAAAAATGTTCAGATATCATTATAGATGAGGATTTTTATATAAACCATAGCATTAGGGTAGGTGAAATCAAGAATATGCAATTTACTGTTATAGGAATATTTATGCAGAAGAAATGAAGAAAAGTGTCAAATTCATTCAAAATCACTTTTTTAATTTTACAAAATAATATTCTCAAAATATCTGCATTTTGTATTATTACTTATTATAAATTTTGTGCTCAAATCAAACATAATTAATTTTGGAATAATTTGAAGCATATTATTATCCCTTAAGTACATTTCCCCACTCAGTAAGGATTAAATTGGTATAGTAATTTTTATTCATGCATTAACCACACTAGATAAGGTTGTAACTGTATACTCTTTAGTAAGAATTTATTATAAATTAAAATTATCTTTTAATGGATAACCCATCTTATGCATTGAATCATTCAGTCAAAATACAAATGATTAAATAATGTATATGTTACTGTGAATGATTGATATCTGGCAAATGTCAGCATTCACACAGTCGTTTCATGCATATACAAAATATTTGCTAAATATCATTATTTCTCACTTACACCGGCAAATGTTGATATTCAGCATGCACTGATGGTGAATATTGAATAAAAATATTTTTATTAGGTTAAGACAAAAATGCAACTTTTTAATATGTCAAAATAGGAGAAAGCTTAAGTAACAGCACATGTAAATAAACTGTTGAACCTAATATGAACAGTACATTCTAAATCATTAAAGAAAATAATACAATAATAAACTTACACATAAATTATGTGATTAACGTTATACAATCTTATTTATTGCAACAACTTAAACTGTTATGGCACTTTGAATTGCACAAGAGTCCCTTGTTTTACAACAGCATTTATTCATGGAACACATCCTTTTGCAATGACGTGTATAGCCTTGCCCTCCACTTTTCGAATTAGCTGCAGCTGCTTCTCTCAAAGATATTTCTTGAGAAGAAATCTCATCTATGGAAAGTAACTTTTCTTTACAAATTACAAACTGATTACAGGTATAAAGCTGCTTAAGGATATCATTTTTGTTTGCTAATTTATAAAAGTCAGAGTCTTCTATTCTAACAACAACCACCAACACATTTTGGGCATGTGTACGACCATGGTTGACATCAGGGACTTGTATTCGTATGGTATCACCAATTTGAGCAGAAGGAAACAGTGAAGAATTTGGCAACAGACTGTCGCCTCTCTGTCGACATCGGCTTCTCAGGTGTCATTTCAACCTCCACCAAAGCTTATCTGTACTTGTTGACATACACCGGCAATTGTTCGAACATGTAATAATATAACCAAATATTCGGTCTTTCACCAACGTATTTTGTATGTGTCAACATTCACCAGAGAATATTAACATTCTCTAATTTCGGTCTTTCACAGTAACATATATAAAATATCATTCCAAGTATAATGTGATTTATTTATTCTTTAATTATACAATTTAATATGCTGATCCATTATCACTTGTATTAAAAAACTTAGCCTTAAAATGAAGCAAGATTGACAACACTCACTTAGTCACAAATATAAATGGTTTTTGTGGTTTTCCTATATTTCTATGTGAGTTCACTTTTATTTTTTGAATTAGATTGGTGGAATAAGACAATGCAACATCTAGGCAACTTTCCAAGAGTATTTTCTAAGGAAACTTGCCTTAGATGTTAGACACATGAATAAAATCTGAAAAAGTTAATGTAGTCTGCAGATTGGTCAGGCACAAACCCACAAACATAGTGTTCTGTTTATGTCCACTCTATTTTATTTTTTCATTGAGATTCAATAGCTTTCCAGGCATTGCTGTTGTAACAAAATTAATATTTAATTTTAAAATACTGACTAATTTTTATTGTTTGTTTAAAAAACAAGAAAAAGAGAATTATTTTATGTTAAAGAACATACAAGTGCTTCCAAAACAAACCATTCAATACAAAAAGTGATGTCCTGCAAAACCATTTTAAAAACTTTATGAAATTTTTATATTTAACTTTAGCACATTAAATTATTTCATTATGGCTATGAATTAAAAAAAATACCATCCACATTAGCATTAAAGTAAATCGTAAAGCTTGTAAAATATATTATTGTAAAAAGACACATAATAATAAAAGTTGATGGTGCTGTCTCTAGCAGAGAGCAAGAGAAGTGAATTTTATTACTTTTTGCAAAAAAAAAAAAAAAACAATTATTTTTTAATAATTAATTAATAAAAAGTAAGGATTAAGATCAGAACCCTTAATCATACTTAATCATATACTTTGTAAAAATATATAAATTGTAAAAATCTGTATAGTAGTTTATTAGATCCAAGAAGAATTACAGACTTTACTGTATTTATATATATAATATGAAATTTTAACTAACTAATTTCCTTGGTATAACATATATATATAGAAAACTAAGCCTGGATTTGGATTATACTAATAATCAAATGATAGAACCAGTTTAACTACTGGACTAGAATTTTGGTCCTTTGCAGGATTGAGTCCCATTTTGGATCAATCTTTTCTTTCAGAATAGTTCTAAATTAATTTATTTCTGATATTAATTATTATTTAGTTTAATACAAGATGGCAATGTAACCATCTAACTTGGTCCAAATTACAAAATATCTTTATAATTAATTAGCCAAGTCTGGCTGGTTAACCTCTTGATCATTTGATAACTAATTTCATTTCTTTCTGGATTTTTGATTCAAAAGAAAAGAAAAACTTATAAATTTTTCAATATTCTAATATTAAAATATATAATTCTTGTAAATGAAAAAATTTGTGCTTCATAATAATAATTATTACAAGAAAAATAATGAATCAAATTTATTTACAAGAATTATGTAATATAGTAACAATTTATGTTACACATAATATTTATGAAAATTATCTATAAAAATATTTAAAATTAAAACAAGGAATTAAAGATAAATTTCAGATTTATTATTTATTAGACAAATTACTAATTAAATTATTATAAAAATTGTATTTTTATTTATTNATTCAATTTTTTTTTTATCATTTTATAATAGTTAAAAATATAAAATTTTAAAAAATAAAATATCATAACAGATGGCGCCACCAAATGTTGCCGAGAAAGTTAAACAACTTGTTGCTAGATTTTACAATATTGCTGTAAATTTAAATTATATTTCGAGCTTTAAATGTGTAGGATTACATTTAAAGCTCGAAAGATTCTCTATTTAAGCATTAAATTACAAAATGATGTAACTGTGAGAGAGGAAGAAAAAAGAAGAAAAACAAAAAGATTGTCGACTATTTACATTCTTGAAATTGGTTTGTTTCCTTGGAGATAAAATATCCTCTTACATTTTTATAGAAGAAAAATGATTGTTATAAATTTATTAAAAAAAAAAATACTACTTTAAATACTTTTGCTTTGGCAGAAAGAAGCTTGGCACAACGTTCATGAGCATGATCACATACAGCAAAAAGAAGATCTTTAAGATTAACGATGATTTTAATGTATTCACTTTCTGTTATCATTACTTCTATATCATTACCTCTAAAAATCAATTTCATCATCAATATTTTATCTAGTAAATTATTTATAATATTTCATTATATATTTTTATAAAATATATTACATACATATTTTATTTATCTTAACACAGACAAGCATCCCTTGCTTAACATCAATAATCTGTTCCTCAATACCAGACATTCTGAAACAAAACATTATTTGGGAGTCTATTTCCATTACTCTAAACAGGAAAAATTATAATGAATTGTTAATTCAATCTCAATGTTAAACCGAAGCTTCTAAATATAGTCTTTCCCTGAATAAGAATGGGTCTGACACTCATTAATGTACATAAGCAAAGGAAATAGTTCTATCACTATAATACTTGGCTGGTTATTGCATTACCCTGGCATGGTAAAATAGTTCTGTGTTCATTACAAAGCAGAATACATACATGGTGTTTATAAATAAATGGTGAGGTTTTAAAAATTAATAATAAATCTATTTATTACCTTATATGGGCAAACCTTACAGCATAAGCAGTGGCAACTGTCCAAGTTTTTTATGCTTTAATCACAATCCTTCAATATGTGCACCCGTGGTCACATGACACACATCTACATGGTAATCAAATTCTTCCCATATGCGGTGTAGCATGTCCTCTGTGATGGTCTGCAGTGCATGCTTTATCCGATCACACAGTTCCTCAAGGGACACGGGCATTGACAGTATGTAAACTCGGTCTTTAACAAACCCCCACAAAAATAAATCGCAGGGTGTTAAATCTGGCAAACGAGGTGGCCAGGGGAGCAGATTGTTGTCTGCTGTTGCACCACGTCCAATCCAGCATTGGTGAAGAACATGATTAAGAAGCTCACGTACATTCCTGTGAACTTGGACAATTGTCACTGCTTATGCTGTAAGGTTTGCCCATATAAGGTAATAAACAGATTTATTATTAATTTTTAAAACAGCACCATTCATTTATAAACACCCTGTATTAAATTTGAAACTTTTCAAAATAGATACATATGATTGTAACTAATTACATTTGAAATGCTGTAATTTTCTCACATTGTTTTGGTAAAGATGTATTGAATTTTTGCAACAAATATAAAGTTTTCTTATATAAACATTGTCTAAAAGACATCATATTGAGAAATACATATGATATCTAAAGTTTGGATATTTTAAAAACCAAAAAATGTTTTACCAGAAATCGTTAAGCAGGATGATATTAAGCAATGAGGAATGCCTGTATTTTATAAGTAACTCATTATACATATATATGTATTATAAAAATAAATTTTTCATATATTATGAAAATATTTATAAAATACAAATAATGAACAATTACAAGTTTTTATATAAAATTAGGATTGGCAATGAATAAACTCAAAGAAAATATTTATATTATTGTTAATTTTGTACATATCTTTCTCCAATTTACATTAAGATTTGTCTTTAAATAACATTCTAGAGACATTAAAAAGAGACATAATAGTAATTTATAAATTAAATTAAAATAATATATACTGTACAGATGGATTAAAAATTAAATGCAGTTTATTTTAGAATTATAAATCAGTAATTTTGATAAGTTATTTGTCTAAATTATAACTACAAATTATTTATGTAGATCTTTACAAAAAATATATAACAGACTATTAATTTTGTTCAATTCTCTACATAAATGATTGTCTTCATTAAATTTTGAAAAGTTAACAAAATGTTTCACTAAAAAAGTTAGCAACATTTCACAATGATTAAAAATGATGAATTTATGTCGAAATTTAAATCTTTAAAAAACATATTTGAGAATGTGAAGGATAATTTAATTAAAATTTAGTGATACAAAACAAATTTTATTTAAAGTATTCAATTTCCTTCATGAGATCAAACTAACTGAGATCATTATACATAATAAGCCACAGTAACTTTTTCAACTAAATGCATAGGTAATATAATTCTAAATTATAATTACAGTGATAAAGATACATCTGTCTGAAATTCTGTAGATCCTTCCTGAGGAGATAAGTGATTATTTCCTGTTGAAATTTTAACCACATCATTTATCACTTCATATATAAGCTAAAAAATATAAAAAAATAAATTTGATTTTATGAATTTTTTTGAAATAAAATCAAATGTCAATTTTTTATAAGAATGAAATACCTTTATTCGATGTAAAAGTATTATTAGATTTGAAAATACTTGTTGTAAAAGTTCTAACCATTTTTGAAATTCCAAGAAAGTTGTCTGTTCACCTAAGCTACTAAAAATAAAAATTTTTAATTTTTATTGACTATTTGGTTACAAATAAGATCGATTAATATACTTAATCTACAGTTTAAATACTTTACTTCAATACAGTTAATGAAAAAATTTAATATATATTAATATTTATTCATTCATGTTTTTTACATTTTAATTTCAACAAAAAAAAATTACATCAAAATTTAAAAAGTTTAATTGTTATTACATTAAACAAATTAATAATAAATACCTTCCTGTACTTTCTTCGGAATCAAGCTCATCAAGTTTAGATATTACTTCTATAACAGTCTGCAAAAAATTGCATATTATTATTAAAATGTATTTTGAATAATTTAAAATTAAAAAATTGATTTTAAGAAAATCAATCATGTTTATTTATCTAATTATTTTTCACTTAAAGTCTGTATTCTACTATAAATTATAAATACCAATCAGGACCTGTTTAAGAATTGTTTTAACTGCTGTACATGCTTCATCTCTAAATATCTGTATAAAACTTTGACGATGAAGTCGTAACATCCCAAAAACAATTGCAATTAGCTGTTCCTATAAAAATAAAACACATCATTTACAAAATCTTAAAGAAATCTGATATAAAATTACTCAAATAATTGCCGTTTGTAATACATATAAAATCAATTGTTATTAATTTATTGTATGCATTTACACTTATCTTATTGTATCAAAACCAGTGTCTTATAATCCCATCATAAATTCTAATCATATTACAGTAATACAGAGACCAAGATATTCTGTAAACTGACTTTAAGAACTTTTAATATTCCAATTAATAATTCACTTCAATCAATATTTTAATCAACTTGTTTTTGAATAATTCTGAACTAGTTAGTTTGAATACTAATTACAAGGGCTGTGGAGTCGTGTAAAAATCTACCGACTCCAACTCCGACTTTTCCTTACCATCCAACTCCGACTAGGGGCAGACTTGTTACCAAAAGAGACCCAGAAATTCTGATGTCATCATGTGACCTCAGAATAAAAGATTCAATAAATAGAGTTCTAATAAAGATAGAGCGTAGAAACTTTTTTATTCCAAAGCTAAAAGACTTCTCTAAGTAATATATAAATATGTATTCGATAATTTTTACTTTTCCGGCTGTTATATATAACAGAGGAAAAGCGTAGCGCTCGGTCAAAAAATGACCCCTCCCAAATTTTTACATTTTTGGACTCAGGACACCTTGAAATTTTGAGATATGCAAAAGATTTGAGGTGTTTTCTATATGTGTGGATGTTAGACTGTGTGTGGGGGGAGGGCATGATTTCGTTCAACCTGTTTGAAGCCTAATAATTTCTGTGGTCAGAGTGGTCAGAATTGGAGTCAGATAGTTTAACACAGGCGTTAGTTATTTAAGTCAAAGTGGTTGAACTAAATCATATCCCCATATACATTCTAACATCTTAAGCGAGAACATCTTAACGGGTTTTACTGAACTATTATAAAATGGCAAAAAAGCTTACTTTGAGGGTAAAGATGAGTTTTATTTTATTTTTTTAAATTTTGAAGACTAATAACAAGTAAAATATTCATTAAGAGATATGACACTTTTATGTCTTCACCCTGTCAACCTTTAATTAAGAACCAAAATTTAATAGTATTAATGCCCCTTTATACGCAAGCTATAGTGCCACATTTCGTTCCTTAAACTTTACCCGTTCTGAGATATATTTAATACCTCAGATCAGAAAATAAACAAATTAAACAAATTAGACGCCAACACACACGTGCGCGCGAATTTTTCCCCTTTACTGACTTTTCTGAGGGGTTCGGGAGGTCTCCAAATGTGTAGATTTGCAAAAAAAAAAAAACTTGGAGGGTCAAATTTGACACAATTCCAATATTTTTCCGTTTTATATATATAATAAGTTGGTAAGTAAAAAGGAGTCGGAGGATTTTTTGACGACTCCGACTCCGGCTAAAACATCAAAACTCCACGACTCCGACTCCACAGCCCTGCTAATTACTCCATGTAAGGAAAACTGACAGCGCTGCATTTTCCTCATTCTCACTGTTTTCATTACTTGATTATCCTGTCATCCAGAACTCCATTCTTGAAAATATCTCATTCTATCCCTGGTTAATTCCAACAAAGACTAATATTAAAGAAAGACCTTATGTCTGTATCTCCCCTTATCATAAAACCTTTTTTCTCTGACACTGTTCAAAATTGTTCTTGGAATATAGTTTATATTCTGTTATGAATGCTTTACTTGAGGGTGATTTTACTTATTTGTCTACAAGTGAAATCTGAATTTTCCACTTTATCCAGGTTATGTTCTTCATACCTAAAAACCTCTTATATTTCTGTTTAGCATGTTTCTGATTTATAATAAGATTTAACATAGAAAAGCATTCCATTCCAAAGAATTTTTTCCATTTAGGCAGATTTTACTTTACACAGTTTGTCCTGATAGTAATGAGATGATGGTCGGACAGCTGAGATAGTTAAAAATAAGCACATACTAGGGAAGAGAAAACAGGTGGAGTGAATGGAGAGAAAAAAAAACCCACCTGCATTATAAGTTATGGATGTGTGCACACTAGGAGAGTTGGTAGATGTAGAGAATGAGAGAAAATCTGTCTTGTATAAGGTAACATTTCTACCTGTCCACCTCAAACTAATGAGGTCACTAATCCAGATGCCCAACTGTCTAAACCTCCTGACACTTCACTCATTAAAAGAAATTAATTTTTTAAATAACACCAACACCTTCAAAAATATACCAGCAAATATATTTTAATATAAATATGCTATGACAAATGCTTTCGATCCTAGTAGGATCTACTTCAGATCAAAATGTTTGCTAGAATTAGAATGCTAAAAAAGTAAATTTAAATTTTTAAAATTGCTGGAATGATAAAATATTAGAACAAGTATAAAAATCACATCTATGTGTTAACAATTAACATTAAAAAGCTAAACTACAGCAGGCCAGTCTAATTAGACACACCTTTCACACCGATCAGATCAAAATTTTGAAAACTCTTAAAATTTGTAAAGTCAAACTAAAGGGGGAATGTATTAATTTTACAGAGTCAAACATCTCACATGCTTGGTGGTCCTTTTTTGACTATCCCGACAACATTAATAAGAAATAAAAATCAATTCTGTCAAGATTTATAATAAATATATTCGTAAAATTTTTATGTTAATTTTATTGTTAATTTTTATTTTTATTTTTAGTGTTAATGTTAACACATAGATGTGATTTTTATACCTGTTCTAGTATTTTATTGTTCCAGCAATTTTAAAAATTTAAATTTGCTCTTTTAGCATTCTAATTCTATCAAACATTTTAACCTGAAGCAGATCCTATTAGGATTGAAAGTGTTTGTCATAGCATATTTATATTAAAGTATATTTGCTGGTACATTTTTGAAGGTTTTGTTGGTGTTATTTACTAATATATAACCAGCTGTGAGAAGATTTAGAATTAGTCTTTTTAGGAGCACTGTCATTTTCACTCATTTCTCTTACCATAACAGATTTGAATGTAATTTCTCTAAACTACAAAGAATTATATAATTTACAGTATCCTCTTTTACTACCACTCATTCTTCATTGACATTACATATAGCAAAAAGAAAAAAATCTGAATACTTTCACTCTTTTGTGCTAAATTCCACTCAATCTGCCACAAAATGCAACCGAATGCATGTTTACTGATGCAATTCTGTACACCCTATCCACTCCACTCATCACATACAATCACCAAAGGTAAACTTATCTTAAGATGTCAGCTTAGGTAAGCACCCAGGATCAAATCCAGAAAATCAACCTCAGGAATTTTTTGTGGGTTTGTATATGTCAGGCCTCCTTTCATTATAGGTATGGTCAAACCCATGATGGGTATGATTAAAAGTGTTTTAGTGTCCACATAGTCTTGGAAAGAGTGAAAAAAAAAGTAATGTGATTAAATTTGTATAAAAATCTGCAATAAAATTTTATATAGATTTAAACTCATTACTTTCAGAAAAATTGCATCTTCACTTTTGACTTACTCATTCTCTCTTTTTTTTTTAATATTTTTTTGACAAGTACTTCTTTTTAATTTTGGCATATAGATCAGGCACACTTTCTTCTCCCTTAAAACTTTCAGTCACAAAACTTGATGGAATAACATTGCTCAATACTTCTTTTCTTCATATCATAACACACTCGCAATTACTTAATTAAATAAAAATTGACACCACGTGGAACATTTTTAAATTTGAATTAAAGTTAAAAGAAAGTGTGTTGTATGTCAGTACATTTTGATTTGTCCAAATATTTCCATTTCTCAAGCTATAAAATTGATCTCTACTTTTAGGACAAACAAGCCAGTTATCTATGAGTGACAGCATGTTTTTCATTTAATGGTAAACAATAAATTTAATTTATTATTATTTCAATTTAGAATACTGTTGTAAAATATATACTGATCAATATGTATGTATATATATATATAAATTTCTACCAAAAAAAAAAAAATTAGAAAATTCAAAGAAAATTACACATATTTTGATTTAAAAAATATTAATCTATTATAAATATTATTGAATCGTTGAATACATAAAAACAATTTTTCACAAATGACCTAATAGTTTTGTTATTATTTTTTACATTACTCTCAATTCCTGCAGAGTACTATTCTATAAATAGAATGTTATGTATGACTGACAATAGAAAATATTAATTTTTATAAATATATGTTTTTTAAAAAATGTATTATTTAATATGTACTATATAAATAAGCAATTTATGTAACAAATCAGATTAGGCAAAACTTTAAATATATTTCTGTTAATAAATTTTAGGAAAAAAAAGTATCACGAGAATGTACTTTTAAGACTATAGTTCAGGAAAGCTTATTCCAAATTAAGGTTAAAGAAATGTCAGAGATAATGTGACTACTTTTACGAAGAATTTCTTTCTTGTTTTACTGTTTACTATGTCTTCAATTCTATCAATAACACAGCATAAAGATATATTAAGTTCATTACAAAACAACAAAATCTTGATTAAATCAAAATAAAAATTTATGACACACATAATTTAATAATTACTAATATAAATTCTTATATGATAAATTAATAATAAAAAGTTTAATGTAAAAATAGAAAATTATTTTATTTTGCTTAATCTAAACTATTGTCAATAAATGCATTAGGAGTCCATAGCTTTTCTCACTATACCGACTTTGCCAGCTTTCTTAAAAGTCATGAAAGGATCATTTTTCTGATTTTGTTTCCATTAGCACAATTTCTCTGGCAAAAGCCATACAACCTGCTAATGGCTCAATGGAAGACTTCCTCAGAATAACATAAAAGAGTATTGAAATTTGCTGACAGAGGGCCAGTTGTTTACAATTTAAAAAACAGTAGAAAGAATTCCTAAAAAAAAAAAACAATTTTTTTATATAAAGTGTTCCAACAGAAATGAAATAAGGATTGTAAATCATTCTGTCAGAATGCATATTAACCATTCATGGCATTTGTAGAGCTCTTATAACAGTGAGAAAAGCTTTCCATTGAGAATACCTCTATTATTTAGAATGATAAAGTTTCAACACCAAAAAATTTTTTCATAAGTAAAAATGTTTCCTTTTAATCTTTTAATAAGTAATGTTTACTTGTAATCTCTAAAATTAAAATGTAGATCTATAGAAATGCTACTTCATTATTACTTATTTTAATCTAAATAAGTAATATATTTATCAATAAATTTTACCTTTTCTATCAATTCACATGATGAATTAATGAGAGGCCTGTTTAGTTCTGATGAAATGTATCGTATAAAATCATTTTGCAACATTTTATCAATAACTTTTTCAATTTCAGCTAATTGAGAACCTAAATGTCTAAATACAAAATACAATAATAATAAATAAATGAAAGCACTAAGGTGATAAAAAATAATAATAATCTTATGATGATAGAATGTTAGTAAACTATCAGATTAAACTGAAACAAATAAATATAATCTTAATTTCTTTGTTATATTCATACAAGTTTTAAAATATGCCTCAGATATCAATAATATAACTAATATAATAATTTATTTTCAGATTTAATAATCTGACTCTGTTCATAGTCCATTTCAATTACCTAAAATAGAGAAGCAATCTTACCTACATTTAATGTAAAATTTTTATCCAAGTTATTAACTGAATTTCAAATAATTTAAACTATTGTAATTTTATCAATTTGATATTCTTTCTATCATTACTAAATTACTTTTTATCTAGGTATAAAATTTACATAGTCTATCATAACAGACTCAAGTTAAAGCACAACTTCTAAAAAGCTTTTATTATATTTGTGTGCCTTTAATCTACATAATTTAGATTTAAAAAGCTCAACTATGTGGCAGGTATTTAATTTTGCTGCTTTCTGTATTGTAATGTAATATCATTATTAAGGTCTAGTGTTTCTAGAGGCTTGTGTAATTAAGTCATATGAATTTGTGAATGAGTGCAGGAATAACAAATACCTTATGTATATATGAGCAGGTTCTGTATACTTATTAATTTTTTGATGTAGAACTAAATAGGATTAGAGTCTTCTTGAAAAATAATAATATAATAATATCAGAGACAAATTTCTCCATCAAATATTAATTTGTAAATAAAATTAATAATTAATATAAAATGATTTATTAAGAATATTTTTTATTATGTTCTACAGAAACTAGCAAAGATCTATTTAATTCTGAAAAAATATATTATACAGTAGGACCCCATCATAGACTCACCACACACAGTTCAGATTTATGCTATTGTTAAAATCAGGGGGGGAGAAAAATACATAAAATAAAAATTCTTTATTGCATAGTAAATCCACACCATTTTTAAGGTGTGTAAAGTCATGTGGCATTTTGCTCTTGAAAGTGCTACTGTGACTGATTTCTTTGTTTTGTACTAAACACTGGATTCTGTATCAGTGTTTATCTGGCCTGCTGCCAAATGACAGGAAATTTCCTCAATGTAGATAGTTTCCACAGAGAAAAAAATGCAGATATTGAGGAATTGGCAGATATTTCCAGAAATGTTGTAAAAAAAAAGGGAATCTCTGAATCTTTTTAAATTTTTACTAAAAATATGCTATACAGTATATTCATACCCTTGAACAGGGTACTGTAGAGCAACAGTCGGCAACCGATGGTCCATGAGAAAATTTGGGTAGTCTGTGGAGAAATTTGAATATTGATCAACTGAAGGTTACACGAAGTATTACAAAAGAAATGAAAAATGCTTAGTTGCTTTTTTCACTCATTGGGATTTTTTATTCAAATCTAAAACCAAAAATGAAGTGACTGTTATCAATAAATAATGAACAATAAACAATATTGTGAGTGCGATTGTTGTCCTTCATGGAAAAGCATGAAGAATCCATAAACTTGTTTCAAACAAGCAGCAATGAACTTTAGGCTTGCATTAAAATTTGTTATAATTAAACATGTGAGTTTCATATTAATATAGTAAAATTGAACTTTTATGATTATTATTCTACAGATTTTGTATCATTTTAAAAAATTCATGATAATGGTCTGCAGGATTCAAAATTGTGACTTTAGTAGTCCATGATGTGAGAAAGGTTGCCGACTGCTGCTGTAGAGAACATCTATTGGCAGCACTGTTGTCCAGAGTTCTTTCCGTACAAAATTAAAAATATATTAATATATTTAATAATGTTTTAAATTTTATTTTACAATAATAACTGTTATACCCTAGGAGCAATGTTCCCTCTAAGCTGTGTGGCCGCACACAAGAATTTATGTGCCGCGCAGGTGAGCATGCACACCGATTTGAATTGTTGTTTACTTATTTCTCACTCTATCTGCAACATGATTATTGCTGCATATATTTTGATTAAATAATTAAATCACTGACAAAAGATAATATTTTGTATAAAAGTATGTTTTAAAATGAATTTTAATCTCTACTTTATAATTAATTACTTTAATTTTTATAGAGAAAAATAAGATTTTATATATATATGCTCAGAAAAATTTTTTGCTCAGAATCTGCTCAACAAAAATTTTTTTTGCTCAGAGAACTATATGTTCTGCTCATCTACAAAAAAAATTAGAGAGAACATTGCCTAGGAGACCTAGCCTAACTATTAGCTGATCAAAAATGCAATAAATCTTTGTACAAATAGTACTCTGGTTTTTGTAATATTAGTATATTTTCATATTTGTGTATTGTACACTATATCATCTCTTGCAGCACACCATTTGAAAATCATTGGTCTATTCTGTGCATTCAAAGTCTCAGATTATTGCATTACATCACTGTGTAAAACAATCAACTTTAAACATACACTCATACTCCTCATTCCATACAAAACAGTAATCAGTGATTGAATTTTTAACATTAGAAAGTTGCACACCTATCAGATTTCACAGAAATTCATAATTGAAGTATTGTAAAACCTAGCAAGCATTCAAGAAATGTGCTTAGAGAGTAGGGCCAGAAAGAATCATCTTTTTCTTGCCCTATGATAATTCAAGATTGCACTATAGTAAGAAAACAATGAAGATAATTAGTTAAGATATTTGTTTTGAAAACAATGATGGTCTTAGAAATCTGAAATTACAGGTTATTCTGCACCTTTCTTAGAGTCCAAATCTGGCACCATCAAATTTCTAGAAGTTCCAGCAATGCTTTTTAACAATGCCAAAGATCAAGCTGCTGTACAATAGTGGATCATGTAAAAACCAAGAAATTTTACATGCATACTGTATAAAAATAAATTGAGAATTTGGTAAAATCTACCATTCTAAGTAATGATTACATTGAAAAAAGAAAATATGTATGATTAAAATAAGTGATTTTTAATACTTTCTAAAATTGGATCACATTATTCTATCTCTTTTCAAACTAATTTTACAAAAATCAAGACCTTATTTATCAATTTATCTTAATATATTTCAGTATCTAAGTTTAAAAAAGAATATCCTACACACAAAAATTAAATGCTTACTTTCATATAATTAATTTAAACAATTTATTCATACTTGCAAGTTCTACCAAATGAATTATTCCATATTTAATACGTATTTCTATATAACATTTTATATAACATTATTAAAAAACTATCTGAATGAATTTAAGGAAAAAATGATATATAAATACATAATTTAAAAGAATTTTTTTTAATTGAAATTTTTAGTTTTTTAAATTTAAAACTTTACCGAAAACTATGAATTCCTGCAAGTTCTTGTGAAAGTACTTCTTGTGTTGTATAAATAAGGTCTAATGCACCTACAAATTCTGAGGTAGAGAGTAACAGTTGTATAGTTGGTTGAGTCTGATGAACTGTTGCCATTAATTTAATCTATAAAATTTAAAACTTGTAATATATTTTATCAAATGAATAGTAAATATCTAAAAGTCAAATATTCTTACTTTGTTATATACTTGTAAATAGTTTGCATGTCGTCTTTTCAATAGTAAAACTTGTAATGGTGTTTGAACTAAAACTTCATCTATTTTGTGTATCCTGTGCCTGAAATATTTAAATGACGCACATGAATTTTTAATATAAATATTTGTCAATTGCACAATATTCATATTCAACTAACCTTAAATCAGCAACAGCTTTAATTACATTAGATAACTGGTCCATTAAGGCATCATGTGATGTCATTGCATGAAAAAATGCTTCTGATCGCATAGATATCTGTCTGGCTATTTGAACTTCCACAATATCTAAATAGTGACTTAACTGGAATTAATAAATAATTTTCTTCATTATTTATATAATTAATGAAGTTATCAAAATTAAATTAAATATAAATAATTCTTGTAAAATTCCATCATTTGTAATATCTTTAAGAAAAGTATATAACTTTTCATAAAGTTACATACTTTTCAAAAATACTTTATACAGTATGTAATTTTACTTGTATTTGTGATGCTTCAATAATGACAGTGTATATAAATAAATTTTACATAATATTAAATATTTCCTAAAGCCATATAATATCCAATCATCATATAAAATGTAAATATTCTTTTTCTTAATTTTCATTTAAAATTATGACATTTTCAAATTTAAAATCTTCATTTCAATTGATTTATATTAATAAATTACCTTTTCTTGTAATAATTTTGCAGACTGATGTGCAAAAGTATTTTGCTGTGCTGGATATAATTGAGACCAAGGGAGAACAGCTCGAAATGTTTCAGGATTTTCTAAACTAAAGTCTGGTTGCAAAAATATCTGTCAATATTATTGCAGAGGTTAAAAATATATTGAATTTATTCCATTTCAAAGGTATTAATTTTATACAAATTATACATTATTATTGGAATAGTTCTGTTTAAAATTGTAAAAGTTTTTACCTTTGGCACACTTTCTATGCTTGGAAGATTTTTATCTATAAAAGAAGTAATAAATAAAATTATTTTAAATAATTTTGAATAATTTTATTTACATTTACATTGAACAGAAAAACACACCAAACCAACGCGCTGCACTAAGAGAAATAATTGATCCATCTCCAATATGGAATGTAGGAATATTAACTTTTCTTTTAACCAATTTCTTTAATCTCTAAATGAGTAAAAAATAATCTATATTATTACATATATATACACACACAAAATACTGTCCTCTAAAAAATATGTTTAAAAATTAAATATAAATATATAAAGAAATAAATTTATCAGACAAAGTTTTCATAGTAGTTTGTACTATTATATTGATATATAAAGTTTAGACATCATGTGTATAATTCCTCCTATTAATTTTAAATCTACAAGACATTCCTTAAAATAAAAGGCCATGGAAAATAATAAGATAAGCATTTTTAAAATTAAATCTCATTGGGCTGCAATTTAAAAAAATTGTAGATGTATAAATTCCCACTCTCGTTTGTCTGTCTGTCCTTCCTCAATCTCAAGAATGGTGTTAGATAGATAAAAGTTAAGACCCAATATGGAAAGCTTAGGGGCAGGAGGCCCGATTTACTATATACAAACATCCAGTTTGGACTGGAAGTCATATTATTTCAATTCAAAAATTTTTCACAGAATAGAGTGACATAGCTGACCAGCACAATTCTGTTGTTATCGATAAAAGTATGATGTACAGGGTCAAGAAACTACTAATAAAAGATTGAGAGTATTTATTTTAAATTAAATAAATTAAAAATATGATTAAAAATTGCAGCCTGGCATTGTGATGATGTCACAATTATTTTTTCTCATTATCAGATCATTTGTATGAAAAAGTTTTTAAAAATGGAATAACTTTAAAATAAACTTTACTTATCACAATTTTATATAATTTCTAAACCATTTTACTACATATTTAAATCATAATTACAATAATTATAATTCTTTTTACTACAAATCTTTAAATTTCAATTAACATGTAGTAAAAGTAAACATTAATTAATCTTTGAAATCACATTTTGGCTTCAGAAATTCAAGCCAAGCCTTTAAATTTTCTGTAGAATTGTTTTTAAAACTGTTCAATTATATATTTTTAAAAACAAAACTACAATTAATTTTATTACTTACTTTTGATGTATTTTTCAAATAATGTTCAAAATGGGCCCTTGTTATCTCAGGTATATGAGAACAATAAGATATCGTTTGTACGTCAACAAAAGAATCTCCCCAAGTTTTAGTGAAAAAGTCAAATTCTCTTTTGACACGACGAGGATCGTTTAACACGGCCGGTAGATTTTGTGAACTATCAAAAACAGTCCATTTAAATTGATCTGCTATTAAATTAGGCTGATAAACTGGATCCAGTAACTGGCTTCCACTTTTTGATTCCAATAGTCTTTTTTCATTTAAGTTAATTTTATATTCTGTCTTTGAGCTATTTTCTGTCTTTATTTCTAAAAATAGAAAAAAAAATAATACTAATGATAAAATGCATAACTATTTAATTTTTAATAAATATATAATTAAACTAGCCTAAAGATTATTAGAATCAGCTCATTAAATACCAGACTATTTTTCAGCTATATTTTGGCTATCAGCTAATTATCGAAACAGTAATTTAAACTAAAAGTAGATGGTTATGCTGTCATCTCGTAATCATTCTAGTAATTATATTAAATTTATTTCTAAATTTAATCATTTAGAATATTCTAGATGAAAAGATTGATCCAGAGTAGAACTCAGACCTGCATCTTTTTCTTGTTCTCTAGATGAATTACTAGTGATGCTATTGGACTTCTGTCTGATATCTCTAAATTAATAGGTCTGAAAGCAAAAATTGAACAGATTCAGATAGCATAATTGATAATGCATCTGATAGTAAACAAAGACTAGAGTTCAAATCTCATTCTAGATCAATATTTTCTTCCAAAATTCTAAATTATTAAAGATTTATTTCTAAAATTAATATAATTACTAAAATTATAAGATGACAACATAGCCACCTATCTTTAATCCAAATTATTACATTTCCATAATTAATTGATTATTTTTGGATGACAAATCTAAAATTAATCCAGCTTTTAATAACTTAATGTTAATTTTAATTTTTTATTTTGTAAAAAATAAAAAACTAATAATTATCAGTACAGAGTTTAAGTAATAACTAGCAGACCCTGCCACACTTTGCATGTCTCAAAATGTATCTATTATAAATGTATAACACTTTCCCCGCGGGGAAATATCAAAAAATCCCTTCTTAGTGTACATTCTCTTGATGTACCCTGTTAAAACGCAATCAAGAATGCAAAAAACCGCATCTAAAATAGTATAATAGAAGCCTAGTTGTTCATGGTAAGCCTTAATCCTGTCACATTATTAGTTATAAGGTAACTAAAAATTTTCATATGGTTTTTAAGGATAAAATAAACGGTACACTAAAAGTTACAAAGCATTTTTATTCAGGAAAGTACATACCAACACAATCAATGATGTTTTCCCCCCAACAAGATTTAAATTTGTTCCAAAGTAGCTTTATAAGTTTTAATTTTATTCTTAAAAACCACATAAACCTTTTTGGTTACATGATATAATCAGAATAATTAAGAAATTTGTTTTTATAAAATACTTCTCTTAATAGTTGTTTTCTTATGTTATAAATGCAATTTCTGGAAACAACATAATGGGAGACTACTACAAAAATTTATTATTCAGTTATCATACAAGACTTTTCAATGCAGCTATTCTAAATTATATTAATACTCATTCTTATCAAATTTTAATTTAAAATTCTGAAGATTTCTTTTTAAGATATAAAAACTAAAACAAGAAATCATATTTCCATTATGATGGCTTCATGTAACACACAACATTTTACAACAGAGCAATCATTATGGAAAATACAAATTAATTTAAAAATTATTACCATATTTCCTCAAATCTAATAAGACACTTTTTTACCTATTTTTATTTGTCCAAAGTAGAGATGCGTCTTAGTATCAATGGCATTTGCATTTGCACCCAAATCAATAATCATTGCATGCAAATCACATGATGCATTATACTCAACATACATTTTGACTATACTATTCAACAGTTCACATCAGTTAAAATAAGCTTTACTAATGAGCATTTAATTTAAACAATTTTCCAGATGGCATTATGATTCGGCATTAAGACAAAAAGTTATTGTGCAAAAGAGTATAGAAATAGAGCTATCAAACACATGTGTTTCATGACAGTTGTATTGTTTTTCTAAGTTGTTACTTAACAAAACTTCATAATACATTACTTTAAAATTTTCCATGTAAAAAAACATCTTAAAATTGAGGAAATACAACACTACTTGGTTTATAGGAAATTAATTTTTTCTTCTATCAGTTTTATTTTGTCAACTAAAGCAAATTTATTATTAGTTTAGAAAACTAACTTCTGAAAATTTTTTAAATTTAGAAAAACTGTCTTAAAAACCCACTTCTATGTTTATTACAAAAACATATAAATAATCAATCCTTTCACCGTAAATAACATAATTTTATATAAACCAAATTTTCAACAAAAGGCTAGAATTTGTATTGAATATTTGGTTAAACCTTCAATTTAAAGATTTACTAAAAAATTTATTTAGATATAAATAATTTTGAATATATACAATAATTATTGGTTACAAAATAAATGGTCAAAAAATAAATATTTGAATACAATGTTTCAAAAATTGCAAGTTTACAATTGGATTTTAAGATAAATTCTATTTAAATTAGAAATCAATTTATTGAATTAGTTTAGGGAATTTAATAAATCTTTACTAGAATATTTAACTGTATTAGTTTATCATTCTATATTGTATTATATAATAAGGCAGTAGAGTTCCGCTAGTCCAAACACTGCTAATCCAAACGTCCGTCTAATCGAACATGTTTCAGTCGGTGGAGAGAAATTTTTTTAGCTCACAAAATATACATTTTTTTGTATTTTCCAGTTGAATTTAAATGGTATTAATGATACAAAAAGATTTAGAATTCCACAACAAAAAAAAAAAATTGTACATTATTGCAGTACTGTATTAATACTGTACAAAATTAATAAATCAGTGTTTGACATGACCTATTAAAACAGCAGATCTATATTGTACTTACACACAAAAACAGAAACAAAAGTCATTAATAGCGTTGATCTATATAAACCAGACCTGTTTTACTGCTTGCTTCTGCGTCATTTCAATTATTCGGCTAATCCAAAAATCTGCTAATCCGAACAGGGCTCGGTCCCAATTAGTTCAGACTAGCAGGACTCTACTGTAATAACAAATAATAAAATAGAATGATGAAATATTATATATAATAGTTGAAAATTTTCAAAAAGACAATTTTATTGTATTAAAGAATATAATTAAAGAGGAAACAATAACAGCAAAAGTTTAAATTATTTTCAAAATTTATAGTAGTAATAGCATTTGCTTATTAATGACATTGATCTTCATGAACTTCAAGAAGTAAATTTTGTATTAAAAAAATTTATTTCTCATATTCAATGCTGTGCTATAAATATTGGATTATATTTTTAAATGTTTAAACATTTAAAGTGTGATCTGATATTTAATACTTTATTGAAAACTTATCTTTGTCTTATAATTTAAAAAGGCAAATTTATTTATCATTTTGCATAGAGAAGCAAAATAATCTCTGTCAAAATAACAAATCCAAGAAATAAAGAAAAATAAAAATAAATAGCTAAAAGGAATATAAAAAGATTACGAAATGTATTTTTAAATTGTTTAAAATAAATGTATAAAAAAATATTATTAACTGAATAGCTTATAACAGCAATTCCCAACCCGGGATATGCAATAGGTCATTTAGGGGTACAGAAAAAAGTTAGTTATTATGGCAGAAAAAATAATATATTATGTATCACAAATTAATAGTATTAAAAATTATTAGGTAAAAATTGTTCCTTGCAACAATCACAAACTTTATTATACATTTCAAAATGCAAAAATAGAAATAAAAACTTATGCTGCCAATTGTACAATGCAACAGATCAATAAATGTTGCGTAGTCAGTCAATGGTAGTGGGGATACCATTATGCATGATTAGTGATTATGCTACAGACTTATGATGATGGGGTGTGTTACTGTTATTATTATCTCTCAACAATATCCCCACGTGTTTGAAAAAAGTATTTTTTATTGTTAGCAAGGAAAAGGACATAGCTAGTTTCTGCAGATTTTCTGTACAAGTGGTAATTTTTTTCATTATTTATTCAATATTTTTATTAATTTTTTATTGACAAGACTATGTCTTGTTTATAAAATCGTATTGCCTGCTGTGTTATCAGCTTAGAAGTATGAAGGAGTACATGTCAAAAGTTGCAATTTGGGGCAAAGTATTAGGTGCCCAAATCATGCATGCATAAAAAAAACCAGACTTGCAGGTACTCGGGGACCGAGAACTGAGTCAAAATAAAATTCAAAATGGCGACACTCTCTACAAACAGGCAGTGCGACATTTGCGCATGCGTTGCTCGTTGGGAAGTTGGAAATGCCACGGGGGTACACTAATGAAAAAAGGTTGGGAACCGCTGGTCTATAATAAAAGTAACTATTCAATAATAAAGAACAAAGACAAAAAGCTAAGTTTGTTTTGAAAATTAAAGCATTATTTTTCAATCTTATAAACTCAAATTAAAGCAAAACTGAGATAGTCCAAAACTTATATTTTGAAGATAATTAAGAAGACTAAAATGAACAATATTTTGTCTAATGAATTGGGGGGAAAGTAGAGAGATATGCAAAAGATAACAGTTTTTCAAATATAAAAGCAGATTTTCATTCAAATGCTTTTGGATTTGAATTACAGAGCACCATTTTTTGCTGAAAATATAAATATTTAAGTCTTTATTTAATTGACAATAGATTAATTTATTAACATACATTTATAAGAAGGAATGAAGATCATGTATTCATTAAGAAAAAATATTCCAAATATCTTTAGGTAAAAAAATCAAATGTATTCATTTAGGTAAGAAATGGTCTTCCTAACTGTAAAGCAATTCTGAAATAAGTGAAAAAACTGTTACAAAGCTACTCTTTGCTAGATGCAAATCACAGAATGCCTTAATTTTATAGGATATGCCTCCTTCATAGGTTAATCTCTCAAAGTCTTTCTCAAAAAGATATTTATGCACAAGACATATTTAAAATATTTTGTGTCAGTTTAAAAATTAGTGATATTATTCAATTATAAACTTAAAATTACTTCATTATGAAATCTTATAACTTAGATCTTTTAAATAAATTATTTACTACATTATTTAATATAGAGATAAAAATTTATTCAATTCAATTTTATTATTTCTCAAATTTATTTTCATTCAGATTTTCTTTTGGATAATGTTGTCTGACAGAATACACCAGCTCATTCTCAAACATCCTTTAATTCTTATGTGTTATTAAAA